GTCGGTATGTATCATTGCTCTTCCCAAGCATGGATTGTGGAAAAATCGAAATCGTTCCACACCCCGCTAGCGCAGGTACCATCATTGTGTCGACCAATGGGCGTTTCCGCGGACCTTGTCGACGGGACCCTTGGTTGGTTCAAAGGCCAAGCAAGCCCCGCCTTTTCCCAAAACCCAGGGCCCAATTTCCGTTTGCATGAAGCAGTTCGCTTCATCAGCCCACCATTTATTTCCTCCGAATTCACTACACCGAAGCCCGCAGATATATTATGTCTCGTGGATAACTCGGTACCGGTCGGAGGAGACAGGTATAGGAATAGAAACAGACAAATGCGACGAGGCTCTGCAACAACTCAATGCTTGACCCACGTTGTCGATCTCTCCCGTGGCGCATTATCTAACGGAGATAATCATCCCCATCCACGATGTCACCACGGTCAAGTGGAAAGTGCGAGAGTGCACGGGCCAGATTAGTTTGACCCGCCACCGCTAATCACCTAAGCCCTTTCTGGGGAACGGGAAAGTGAGAAACGACAGACCAGGAAGAGTTACAGGACCGTTGCAGGTGTACACTACAACTATGGAGTACCTACGGCTGTACATACTTAGTACGGGATATACAGTACCCTGGTTACAACCTGGTCTGACAGACTCGGCGGAGGTTTTACAAAGTGCAGTTATTGACAGGGTATGAGTGATAAGAAGCTCCTCCTACATCACACCCTGTTGAAAAATCTGCACTCGATACGATTGGACATGTCTCGTTTTGCGATTGATAGGAATTGGGAAGGAAAGTATTGGAATTCCTTTTTTGCAACTAACCTGGCTACCTTAGCTCATCAGCTGAGGCAGGTTGAAGATGCGAGATGACGAATCGGTATTCGCGAGAGGATGGAGCTGAATAGGTCTGGTCAAGCGGGCTGAAGAACCCCGATGAACTTGCATTGATTAGCAACCTCCTAGCGCAGAGGTTGAATGAACTGTGAGGTCTGTCAGGTCTGTACACAGTAAGACCCTTCCCTTACCACACGTGCGCGAGACCTACCCTTACCACGGGTAGTTCTTCATTCCTCTTCACCAGCGATCATTCCGCACGTTGGGGGTTTGTTTGTTCATTATTTCTTCAAATCAGCTGGTGCCTCTCTGAAGTGTGGTCGCATTACGAAATAAACCCCCCGATCTCTGGATCCCCAATGTGATAGGGCTCTCATCACTGCAGGGCGCAGGGCGGCCAATGCAGGTGCCTGTCACTTATGAGCTATCCATACGCATAATGCACATTGGCTAGGTCCAGTGACTGCAGGTGAGCTGGGGCCCTGGTATTTGCTGGCTCGTAAAGATATTTCCATTACGAATTGACTTCCAAAGTTAGTAACGAGTGATGTTTCTTCTATCTCGAGCTGACGCCGGTCAGTTTCCTAATCTTTGTCTCTTCACTCCCACGTAGCATAGACAACCATGTAGGCTCCCTCTTGGCAGCAGGGACCAAACTTGATAAGAAACCCTGGTGTAGTGGGGGCTATCGACGACACTTTGAAGTGGGCACCGTGGATGTGACAGTTCCTGGCTTGAGAGAGATCTTGAAACGTCATTGTTTCTTCTAGCTTCCATCCTAGGCTACATTGTGAAAGTCCGTTGAATGCAGAGCCCTGAAGAGACCCTGCAGTCTGCAGTATGGTTGCCACCACTGCCATAGTCAGCGCCAGCAGTCGTCCTTCTCATCCCCTGGGGCGCGTCCCACACGAACATGGATGATGGATGGGCATGAAAAGCGCCACCAGCTGCCGTCGAGAGCGGCTTGACACGATTGGTGCCTCGGGAGGAGCTTCTGCGGGTGCCTTGGGTCAACCCGCCGCGGGGGTCAGAGCTGTCCAATCCTGTGGGCTTGGTCCCGTAAAAAGTTTGGAACCGGCGATGCAGATCCTACAAGGGACGGCCGGCCAGGCCGTGCCGGGGGGTCCCATAGACCTCTCGGGTCCTGCCCGCTGTCAATGCCCTGGGGGCTCGAGACTTGCGGTTCTCTGGCAGTCTGCAGTTGCGTGCTGCGTGATGGGATGGCCATGTCGGCATATTCTCCTGTCTGTCTCCGACACCGGCTTCCCATGTCGCCGACTTACGTCCATTGCACCTTCGTTTTGTCGTCGTTGCTTTTTCCGTGGTACATTGAACAACCAGGCGAGTGCCTCGTGCCCTGGCATCGAAAAGCAGAGTGCAACGGTCTGAAACGGAACAGCCACAGGTGGCATATGTCCTAATCAGTCGACATCCACATGCATGGGTCCCTACCAGCAAGACGGACAGCACCAGTTTATTTCCCGCCTTCCCCACGTGTCGCATTAACACAGCTGCTCGTAATCTCACTGCTTCCGCTCCCTGGGCTGCCCGGTTACTATTATTACCTATTTTCGGTGGTTTCCTGCAGAAGCAAGCATCAGAGGCTGCCAAATCCACCAAGTGGGCGGTGTGCCTTGCAACCATCTCTGTTTCTTCTTCCTTTTTTTTTCTCTCTCGCGGCATCGCTTTTCCGGTCGTACGTGCGAGGCCACCAAGCTGCCAACTTTTTTTCTTCTTTTAAAAAGTCAAAGTGTCACGGACGCGAGGGGCGAGTGTTGAGCGCATTCCTCGACCCCGCATCTGCCAGACGTCGGACGAAGCGTCTGCGGGCGTGGGGCTCGTTCGCGATCGATTGCGCACAAGATTGTCGGATCTCGTCCATCTGATGGGCCAAGCCAGAGCGTGCATTCCGGTCCTGCAGGTTGAGGGGGTCTGTTCCTGCGGCGAGGCATCCCGTTGGGCGAGGTCACCAAGGTTGCGCCAGATTAAGAGCCGTCGAGTATAGGGCCTCGAAGCCAATGCGCCGCTGGATGGGACGCATCGCGGGGACCCCCTCTTTAGCTGAGCCAGCTCCCAAGCTTGAGAGACTGTCGGCACTTGATCCCGGCCCCAGTCGTCGCCCCCAAGCCTCCCTCGCTCGGACGGTCGAATTGGATGCCCACGGTTGCCTACCGGCCGTGGCATCGGGATTCCGTCTAGTGTGTGCCGCGCTATCTCTTTCTAGAAGGTCGTCAATGCAACAGTGGAAAGCAACCACTTCTAAACCTTGGCTCTTGCGCTGTTATTTTGAACCACGGCCGTGGGCTGTGTGCCGAGTTGTAAACCGTGGATGACGAGGCAGCTAACCATGATTCGATGGTCTGAAGACAATTGGCGATTGCAAGCTCTGTCCCATGGTTCGGGATCTTCCCTGAGGAATATTGCGCAGATCGTCTGCCGTCTCTGTCAAGTCACCACCCTCCCTCCAGCTTGCTGTGCCATGTCGGCCGTGCCCCCCCGGGGAACGGGCGAGTCCTGCAACCATCAAGTACCGATTGTGAGAAAAGACCAATGGTAGAGATCGCCATTGGCGCAACCAGCCTTGCCTCGGTGCAACGCTGTTACAGTGAGCCAGATTATGTCGATTGGCTACCACGTTGTTTCGAGTTGATCGCTGTCCACCTTGTTGCTACCTCAAGACCGCTTCGTACTATATCGCAATCCATATATGTGTGAGAGGCATAGTGTTATGCGATCGCCTCAGCCTGCCAGCCGAAGAAGGGACTCGACCTTGAACTCGTCTATTTCTGGCTACCCCTCGAGGACTCGGCGAAGTACTATTTGTGTCTGCTACTTCGGCTTCACACCGACATTCTCAGAAGGGAATCCGGAACCGATCCCCGAGTAGCGAAGGCAATGGGTGTCATATGCAGGAAAGGTAACTGGCGTCCCATCCAAGGCATAGGCGATGAGGCAGAGTCGTTTCTCCTTGCCTAGGTGTGTGATCAGTTCAGGGGCGATATTCAGCGACACAGCAGACCTATGTCCAGACCTCCTTCTTAGTGCTTTGCTGCGTGGGCACAAAGCTATTTTGAGACCAAATATCAGGTTCTACTCGTGACATTGCTCTCAGTGTATCGTCTGCCTTCATGACGTATGTCAAACCGATGGCATATATTGATACCAAGGACAGATCAAGGAGCTCGTTGTGAGATATACTTACCTTCTACAAGCAGGGACGTCTCTTTGGGGAAGGATCCCAAGACCAGGTGTTACAGTCCGAGAGGCGTCGCCTTCTATAAGACTTGCCTGCCGTAGTACAAGTATCTGTCCCTCATATAGAGCCAATATTGATGGAGTCAAGTTGGCAACCCATGATGTTTGATATCTGACATCCGGCAGGGGCAACAGGTCGCAATGTCTGTAGTACACTCTTGCAACTTGACCATGTTGCCATCCCCCGTGTCTAATGGAGTTACTGGTGACCTTGATTCATTTGGCCTATTATAACTAGGTTGCCTCCTGGTCATAACTATCGCAATTGTTGTGCATTTGGCAGAACACAAGGCTTCAACTCAGAACCACATCTTTTACTACTTTCAAGCCCACCGTGAGAAGCTGGTGAGAAACTTCTACAATGGTTGCTTCGCAAGAAATGGGCGTGAAAGGTATCACAGGATTTTGTGCTGCAGCGATCAGTTGTAGACACTGAGGTGCAATCAACATTGGTTCCGGGTTAGGGTTAAAGTTCAAGGCCATCTGAACTCGCCGAGTTCAGCAATTGAATATCTCAAAAACTCATCACTTTCCGCTCTAACAGCAAACCGATTCAGCTAGAGCCAACCCTATTTTGTCAGCTGGTCATTCGTATCCTGGAGACGTCTTGATTGCATAGTCTGCGCCTGAACGCGTCTCCTGTGCAACCTCCCACGACCTGAAAAGCTCAGACACAGGCATTTGACAAGCAACCTCAAAGTCTCAACTCTCAAGACCATCTCCATTTAACCCCCGTCTCACAACAGGGGTTGAGCCGCGGCAAAGGAAGACATCAATCCGCAGACCAGCCCGCCCCGATAACTCTTACCACCCCATCCCATCATCCCATCATCATCATCATCATCATCATCATCATCATCCCCACCATCATCATCATCATCCCCACCAAACCCCCCGCAACTTTCCCAACCATGACCCCAACCCCACGCAGCCTCGCGGCCACAGCCCCAGCCGCCGAAGAATCAGAAGAAGAAGACTACATGACAATGGTCATCCCGGACGCCCTGCCCCCCGGCCGGGGTGGTGGTGTCGCCGGCGCCGGCCCCGAGACATCTCTCCAGCGCCGGCAGCGCCTCCGCCGCGAGGGCGAGCAGCGCGGCCGCGTCAAGTCGCGGGCCGAGCTGGCCGCTGAGGAGGAGGCCGCGCGCGAGCGGGCCCTCGGCACGTCGCTGCTCGCCGACCCGGCCGTGGCGGGGCGGAGCAAGGGGTTCGCCATGATGGCGAGGATGGGGTTCAAGGGGGGCGCGCTGGGGAGGAAGGGCGGGGAGGAGGAGGCGGGGAACGAGAAGGGGGAGGGGGAGGGGGCCGGTGGGGCGCCTGCTAATGATGGGCCGCGGGTGGAGCCGATTCGGATATCGGTCAAGGATGATCGCGGGGGCATCGGGCTGGAGAGCGAGAAGAAGCGGAAGCTCAGGGAGGCGGCCGAGGCGGCGGAGGGGCAGGCCAAGAGGGTCAAGGCGGACGAGGGGGAGTACCGCGAGCGGGTGCGGCGGGAGCGGGAGCTGGCTAGGCTGGAGAGGCAGGTCCACGGCGCCCAGAAGATCGCGGAGCGGATGGACGAGGAGAAGGAGTCGGGAATCGAGGTCGCGGAGAGCGGCAAGAGGAGGACCGTCTCGTCGCGGCCGCTAAAGTCTATCAGCGTCCTGTGGAGAGGGCTGGTTCGGGCGCGAGAGGAGGCAGAGAGGGACCGGAGGATGAGGTATGACCTTGAACAGAGCTTGTCAAGGCTTCCAACGTATGAGGACGAGCACGAGGATGAAGACGACAAAAGGGCACTGGGGAAGTCGAAGACGGTCTTTGCTACTGCCCAGGACCTCGACGAGGAAGATCCTGAGCTGGACGAGTTCAACGCTCTGCCCCCAGAAGAACGGCTACAAAAACTGGTCGACCACCTCAGGAAGGAGCATCACTACTGCTTCTGGTGCAAGTTCACCTATCCAGACGAGAGCATGGAAGGTTGTCCCGGTACGACAGAGGAGGATCACGACTAGAAAGCGGATTTTAGGTCGACAAAAGAATACAGTTTATCTTACAAGTCTGCATTATATATGATTCTACCCCTGGTATACATGCTGTCGGACCTGGCCCGCTTCACTCTTGCAATGCCTGGCTCTCCCCGGTCATCTTCTCAGCATCTTTCGATACCAACATACCATACACGCCCATCTGCTGCGCCGCCTCCTCGTAAAGTAGTTGGAGCTCCTCTTCCGATGCCTGCGCCTTGTGGAAAATGAGAGCCTCTAAGACGACACAAAGTTCATGGGCCTTTTGCACTGGAGTCAGGTTTTCCAAGGTCCGACCTTCCTTCTCCAATGCACGCCGGCGCTCCTCCATGAGGAATTGGGTGATCTTGCTTGCATTCATCAGAAGTTTCTTGTTCCTCTGGGTGGGTCGGCTGAGTGACATAGTCCCCGCGGCGAGCTCGACGAGCAAGGTCTCCGACGGTGCGAAGGAGAAGAGCTCCCGCATCGCCCTCGTGGCAGCAAGCATCCCGGCGTAATCCTGGAGCTTGAGGAAGGAGTGGAGGATGGATCTTGGCAGCTGATCGAAAGCTGTTTCCGAGTCGAAACTCCAGGAGGACTCTACCAAGTCGCGGAAGAATTGTCGGCACATGACGGCATCCTGCTCGACTAGATCATCGTACTTGACAACCAGTCGATTGATAGATAGCGACTTGTATAGGGCTAGGAATGTGTGGGCGTCGGGGGCGATGTGGTGCTCCCGAGTCATCGAGTGGTAGAAGTCCAACGCTCTTTTAGCCTCACAGTTCTGGATGTATGACTCGATCAACTGATTCATCATAAAGCTGTTCGTCGCAATCTCGGCCTGTTCGAAGGATGTCCAGAGCTTCTCTATCTCCTTGTGGAGTCCTCGATGTCGATAGTTCTCGGCCATCAGGGAGAATGTCTCCAGCGTCGCCTTCGGCACGAATCTTAGGCCAGGTGTATCCTCCTGTGGACTGGCCATGGTGAGCCTTAGAGGCCATTCTAGCAAGGCTTGTCGCTCGCGCAGTTGGACGAATAGTAGCCGCGAACGGATCATGGCCCATGCAAGCTCTTCCGCCTTTTGCACGTTTTCCGCCGTTTCCGTCCGTAGCCATGCTCCGATAAGACCATTGACTTGGATTGCAGAGCCCAGTATGCCTTTCTCTTCCATATACTTGATCACGTTGAAGGCACCGTCAAGATCGCCAGCACCTATCAGTCTCTTCAGCCACTTCCCAAGGAAGAACTGGTTTCCGACAGTAGGTGGAAGTTTTGCCTTTCCACGGATGTCAATGCAGGTGGAGAACATCATGTCGACAAAGGCTTGCAAGCCTAATTCCGTCTTGTTCGTTGACAGGAAAGAGGCAATGACTTCGTCATAGTCCTCTATTGTAATGGAAGTGCCCAGGAGATCTCGGAGCTGGCGATAGCGCTCCCAGGCCTTTTCTTCGGTCGCCTCCTTCTGCGCGCAGGCTCGAATGAGCGGGACGAGGATTCTCGGGTCGGCGTCGTATGATGAGTCGAAGAGAGTGTCGACAGCCCTCTCCGCCCGCTCGAGATCGCCGGAATGGGAGCACATGCGGACTCCAAGTTCCCAATATTCCTTAAACGTCTCTGGTTTTGACCCGAGCGAGCTCGCGCCCTTCCTCCAGTTGTCGATTGCGTCCTTATCCCAACCGGAAATGAACATTGCCTCGATGGCAAGAAGCTGCTGAGAACCATCAAGTGGAAACCCTGCCACCCTCATATCCTTTGAAAGAACGTGGATATGGGCCATGCGGCTGGTGTTCCACTCCTTCTCGTAGGAGAGAATCCGCCACAAAAGTTCCCAGACTTCTTTCGGGACCACGCCCCATGACGTCGACAATGTCTTCCGGGCTGCGCTGTAGTATTTCCACGTGCTTGAAACAATCTTGGGCGTAATTTTGCCCTTGCTCATGTCCTCAAACGCATTTTGCAGATACGTGTTGAGTCGGCTGACATGGTAAGCCTTGCTCTTCGGCCAGCAATCTTCGGGTATGCCTGGCGGAGAGCCCTGGATCGCCTGTCGACTCCCATACAGTCTTTTGAGCTCGTATGCCTTGTCCTTCATTCCATATTTCTCCATCAGTTGGAACAGTTTGGCTGTATCCTGGAGCTTCTTCTCCAGCTCATTGATGGTAGACTCCACGTCATCGTCCAAGCCACTGATGGCCTTATTAAACTCTTCATTATCTTGCAAACGTCTGTATCTTCCCGGCCGCTCCTCGTTAAAATACCGTACTTCGACTTGATTGTCGTTAAATGGCGACACCTTGGGAGTTTCCTCAGTTGGGGCGGTTCGAAGAGGAGGTGTCGCGACACGTTTTGAGTAGCTTCGGCGCCATGTCCTCGGCCGGAATTTCGGAAGGATTCGAAGATGGGCAAGACATGATTGGCATACGTAGCTTCCACAGCTGCCCGCCTCCAGGGGAAATAATCTGGGTGGCATGAATGGCGGCAGAATCAGGTTCACTCGGCCCAACTCTTCAAGGAGCCATTCGCGGTTGAGTCGCAACGCCCGAGAGCTCGCGTGAACCTTTTTTAACAGGGGTCCCCTTATCGAGTCCCGATAAGGGAATTTGGTCTTGACCGCCTTCGGCAGAATTAAAAGGTCCCGCCAAAATTTTGGCACCGCCTTGAAGCAGGAAGATGAAGCGGAACCTCCAACTCTAACAAAAAAAATAAGACGACGACTTCATCCAATTATTATTTCAAGTCACAATTACCAATAAAAGGGGGACGCCATGTCGGGCCCCAACCCCGAATTCCTCCGTTTCACCGGCCACAAGTCCTTTACACAACGCCTAGTCCTCTCCACCCTGACCGGCCGACCAGTGCACATCTCCAAGATCCGCAGCACCTCTCCCACGAACCCCGGCCTCGCGCCCCACGAGGTCTCCTTCCTCCGCCTCCTCGAGGCCGTTACCAACGGCGGCTCGGTAGAGATCTCCTACAGCGGCACGACGATAACCTACCACCCCGGCCTGATCACCGGCTCCGCGGCGGGCGCCGGCGCCCTCGCCGGCGACGTGATCGAGCACTCCGTTCCGGCCGGCTGCGCGCGCGGCGCCACCTACTTCCTCCTCCCGCTGGCCCTCCTGGCGCCCTTCTCTAAGGCGCACATGAACGTCCGCCTCTGCGGGCCGGGCGTCGTCACCGCGGCGACCCCACGCGGCGACCCGTCCGTCGACACCTTCCGCACCGCCGTCCTCCCGCTGTACGGCCTCTTCGGTATCCCCCCGGCGCGCATCGAGCTGCGCGTCCTCGCGCGCTCCTGCGCGGGGACGGGCCGCGGCGGCGGCGGCGGCACCACGGGGGGCGGTGGCCTCGTGGAGCTGCGGTTCGCCAGCCAGGTGCGGCTGCCCAAGACGCTGCACCTCAACCGGCGGCCCGGGCGGGTGCGCCGGATACGCGGGGTGGCGTACTGCACGGGCGTGTCGGCGTCGAGCAACGGGCGCATGATCCACGCCGCCAGGGAGGTGCTGAATCAGCTGGTGCCGGACATCCACATCGCCGCCCAGTACGACCAGGCCCCGCTCGTGTCGGCGGGGCCGGACAGGGGGGCCGGGAAGAAGAGGGCGGGCATCGGTTTCGGCCTCAGCCTCGTCGCAGAGTCGAGCGCCGCGGGCGTGTTCTACTCGGCCGACGAGGTGGCGCCGCCTCAGGGCGGGGTTGTCCCCGAGGATATTGGGAAGCGGTGTGCGTATCAGTTGTTGGAGACAATATCGCTGGGTGGCTGTGTGAGCCCCGTATCATCTTCAACGGTATTGACCTTGATGGCGATGGGCTCGGAGGATGTGGGGAGGTTAAGATTGGGCAGAGACGTTGTCGGGAGGGAAGAGACCGTGACCTTGGCAAGGGATCTGAAGAAATTTGGCGCCAGCAGTTGGGGGATACGGGATGTAGATGATGATGATACGACCGACTTGATCGTTTCTGTAAAAGGTACCGGAGTTGGGAACATTGGGAGGAAGATGGCTTGACGAACCATATCCACTGCAAGTCAAACTGGTACAACACTCTCCCCATGGTTTCACTTCTTTTGTGACGATGGACTGCCTCGTCAAGACGACGAAATAAATACATTTACTATTGTCTCCTCTGTGCCTGAAGCCTGGCCCTCCGTTCGGCGGCCATCGCCGCTAGGGTGGCCGTGTATCCGATCGTCTGTAAGGAGTTTTCCGTGTCACCCTGCTGTTCAGCAATGGCGGATCGAATGGCGTGGATGACGTGGAAGTCTCCTATGATGGCATTGCCAGATCTCAATACGCCCGTCAGATCGGGAGCCGCGGGTCTGCCTGAGGGGCCACTCTCTAACAGGCTCGCAGCCTCCTCACTTGCCCCGCCCCTATCCACACGATTATCGGACATGGACCTCAGTTCGATATCGCTCGTCTCATCCGCCGTGGCCGGGCCGTCCCGAAGGGTTCCACGCTCCTCGGCGTCATGGTCCTGAGTCGTAACAGCAGGTAGCGGGGTGTTTTCAGAATTGGCGGCGTTGCGCCTAACGGGCAACACAAGCGTGCGCAGCCTTTCCCGCTCCTGGTGGACCGCCAACATGAGACACTGGATAGTGACCACTACCACGTCCAGGATGAGGAGGCTCAGCTTCGAAGTGGGTGGCTTTTGGCCAACAAAATCCACAATCACACCTCCATGCAGGTATCCCCGAGTTGCCTCCCCGGCATGTGGTAAGGACCAGACCACGTGTAGCAGAATACACAGGAGGTTGGGTACAAATATTGCAAAGACATGTGGTCGACGGGCTGGCAAGAGGAGGAGAAAATCCTCGGATTTCGGCGTGAGAAAAAGGTAGTGGGGGACGACGCGAAGTAATAACCTCGGGAACGAGCATCTGGGGCGCGAGGCATCGTCAGGGCTCCAATTTGCAGCAAACAAGGGTGATCAGAAATAACTTACTCCATGTAGTACAATGCACATATTTCGGCAAACACAAGCATATCCAGGTTCCGCATCAGGTGGGACATGAATTGCAGCTTCTTAGCCAAGCCGGCCTTCCGTTTGAGTGACAGTTCCGATGACGACGGCGATTCGGAAGTGCCATCGCCCCCCTGGCTTTGATCTGCGTTTCTCTCATCGCCGGTGTCGTTATCATTGGGATCGGTCGGAGGCTGGTTGGCCGCGGAGCTCAACGTGGGATCATTGTTCATAGCTCCGCCGCATCAGTGTGAAAGGCACAGGGATAGGATCGACTATCGTGACCTCACATGTCTATGTCGGAAAGGGTAGTAATAAGGATTATGGCGCCTGCTGTGAGAAGCCACAGAACGGCGTAAGCGCTAATATGGACTGCTCAGGGTTGCCGAGTTCGTCGAGTCCATCCCGTGATTAGAGCTGCGATTCAACGTCTTCGTTCTGTAGAATAAAGGAGCATTACCTTACCAAGCTTCCGTGGCTGCGTATGTTGCTGGGCCGGGCCCAAGCTTCTACCGGGAAGCGGGTGAACTTTGTTGCCGCCAAGGCCCGGGCCCCGGCCTGGATGGATAAGTCCCTAGGTATTCCCGCTCCTGCAGGGTCGCTTCCACGGCCTGGCGCAGAGCTTCGAAAGTTCAGGCTTCATGACTCGATCTGCTCTCCTTTCGGCTCCAGTAGACTTTCGTCCTTCTTGGTGGTCTCAAAAGTGGCCGTGTAATATACAATGAACCAAAACTGTTGAATAAGTCCTTCAGCTCGGTAGAGATCGCTTAGACAAGATACGGAGTATTCGGGAGGTGCGGCCGTCCCCTGTAAGACCATCCGCCGCGCCCGATATGTTTTACAAATATGAATAATGGAAGCCGAAAAGTTCCTAGCCACAATAACATGTATCGACGTCTATTACAAGTGGATGGATGCCGTGTTCAACTAGTTGAATGGGCGGCAGCTTGGATATTCTTTGCGCTCGAGACTGAAAACAATACCATGCTACACTAGTTATTCCTCGGCAACCCAAACAACTAACGACTCCCGACCTGAAGGCGTGGGATGCGAGGTCGCCGCTGTCGCCCTAACCTCTATTGCTATGTTACAGCCATGGCGCGGTTTCCAGGCTGAGCCCGCAGTCCAAATGGCAATCGGGCTCCATCGTCGCAATATCCCGCACGTCCATAATCAAACCCGGTCCTCATCTCTGCCTATCTACGGTGGGCGAGGCCACTGGCTTTCATCGGCTAGCCTGATAGCAGCAATGCGTTTAGCAAGACGTTCATCGGTGTCGCCGCGGTGGGAGGGGACGCCATGAGCGGCCGAGACATCGTCGGCAATGTCGGTTTCGCCAGCCGCCCACGGTCGCTTGGGGATTCTCTCACCGGTTGATTGAAGGATGGCTTGTAGGGTCTGCCATCCGGTCGTGGAGCGGAGCTGGAAGGACTCTGCCAAGTCATGTTGAGTCGCCACCCGGCAGAGGAGTGCTTCCTCGTCCTGGCAGTTGAGACTCTGTCAGTCTTGTTCTCCAACGTTTCTTGAAAGCAAAGTGAGCGGAAGCGCAACTTGCCTGTGAGAGAACCCCCATCTGGTGAAGGAAGCAGAGCAGATGGAAGTTGGCGACGTCAAGCTTGGAATCCGCCTTTTGGTGAACCTGAAGCGCCTTGGCAGCTGCCGAATGTTCCTGCGATTCGCCCATATATTCGCGGTTCTCAATCGGGAATCCAAGGTCTTTGAAGGCAGGTTTGGGCACCTCCGGGAAGCCATGTGTGAGGGTAACAAACAGGTACTCGACGGGGAATGCTGGCTTAGCGTTCTCCTGCACGTTGGCCCCGTACTCATTAATCCGCCGATAGAACACCTCGGGGATATAGCGGGTCCTACTGGCCGACCCGTCGTCTTCCTCCTCGTCACGGACCAACATCACTTCGGGTGCTGTAGACGGCTCGACAATGTCGGCACGCACCATTTCCACCGCGTCATTCGACATTTGGTAAGCGGAGATGGAGATCTCGCCCGTCTCGTTGCCAGAGATGATGCAGGTGACAAAGCTCGATCCAAATCTGCCTGTGTCGCTCCATTTTGTGGCCTTGGGATGCTGAGCCTGCAGCCGGGCTGAGAAATGGACCTCTTGAGATGCCAAGAAGTATGAGTCGGCGTGACGCTTGCAAATGACGGAGCCATCGCCGCTACCAGAGTCGAGGAGGTCAGTCCAAATGACGCCTATTTGCTCCATGTCGCACAGCTTGGCAACTTTGTTGATCTCGGCCTCATTCTCCCACGCGTTCAAGGAGATGCCGTCAACCTCGTCTACCTGGGGAGGTTCGTAGATCGCCTCCACCACGGCCTTGACGCCCAAGGGAACAACGTCATACTCCGTGTACCGTCCGTAGAGATATCCAAGACGCTGGCCCCCAGTCCGTCGCCAAGCGTCAATAAACGTGTCGACAATAGCAGGCGACGCAAACTCGACATGGTCAACCATCCGAAACGGCTGCGGCTGTAGTGTGATTGCGCTTGGCTGGCACTTTGTGCAGATCCCTTCGGGCCATTGTGGATGCCCCGCTGGACAGTCTCGCTTGACCCGGTAGTACGGCTCAACGAGTGGAGGGATGAACGAGCTGCCAAGCTCAGGTTTGTTGGTGGCAGAGTTAATCTTCCTCATGTACGAGTGGACCGACATGTACTTGATCTTCTTTTCCTCGAGGTATTTGGCGTTGAACGGGTCTAAAGGCATGCAATAATCGCACATGCCTTTGGGTCCATGCCGACACATCTTTGGGTCCATTTTCCTGGGAATTTTGCCATCGCGTTTATCTAGCCGATCGTCGAGGGGAGCCTGCCTCACAACTTCCCAGGGCTTCTTGATCTTCTCTGGTTGTTGCGAAATAGACGGCGGGTCTATCGGGCGGTCTTCGGTCGGAAGGACAGGTTTGCCATTCAGTCGGTTGGTCGATGAGACGGACTGCGACTCTGAAACATCGCCGTTAGCGAGGCCGTTCGAGGTGCTGTCTTGATGCTTGTAGGCGATAAAAATCAAGTCGCCATGGCTATTAGTAGCTGTCAGCATCTGCACATGTTTAAACCTTAGAGATTGGCGGCTCGCATGCCTGAGGCCGATCTGACTGAGCTTGAATTTTCTTATATCCTGAAGGCGCTTCGAGTCTCCACCTGACGGTGCGTTTGACAACGTGATGGTGTTGATGTCGGTAGTCGGGGGAAGCTTGGGAAAGAGCTAGAGGTGTTGTTAGAAGCGTCGGGCAAGAACGGCAGAGTTGACACATACCACACGGGCAAGATCTCCAAATGTGTCGTCCTTTTCCACGGTCAACCGGAACATGCCATCCGGCCCGCGGAGTCGGAGGAGCATTTTAGACTTCTGGTGGTAGATGGAGATATGTTTCAGAAAGAGGCCACCAGTTATGAAAGAGCAACAGTGGCGGAAGTGACAGCGCAGAAAACTATCCGTCTAAAGGTAGAAAGGGGGATAACTGTCGCAGTTGTGGTGGAATCGTAGGCCTCGGAAACCAACTTATTGGGTGATATGGAGGGGAGCTCTTGGTTGTTGAGCTACAACACTTCGTCATACAGATGTGCCTGACGAGCCCCGCGCCCCACTATTCGGAATCTCTGTCGGCCCGGTAAGGCATTCCTGCCCCATAGTGGAGTGGACCCGTAGACCTATAAACCCGACCTCCATGCAGGTTAATCCATGAGAGACAGGGGTTTTAGCGGCACCGCTCTAGCCTCAAGGAGATATAAATATCGTGCCTGGCTCTCTGTGAGTCAACTCAAAGTTGCTCGAGGCCATCCAGCCGAATCCTGCGCCTTCCGAGTGTAACCAAATTCGAGACATGATTGCCAGCAAGTAAGGAAGTGGTTCAATAATGACAGGAAATAGGCATTAGCCACTGCTCCCCCTTTGCAGTATCCCCTCCATCCAAAATCGGATAATCATTTTTCTCCATGATGAGTTCAAGCTGCTGCATCACAGCGACAGGTGGCTTGAGCCAATGTCGGCCCTTATATGAACAAATGTCTTGGTCTATCTCACTGGGACAAAATCGAGCAACTAGATGTCGAGGTATGAGTAAAGCCACTCTAATGCTGCCAGACTCAAACATCGTGGACGAGTTTCTTTGCGGGGTTGATGTTCATTATATGAAACTGGCAACATCATAGCAACGCTCTGGATTTCGGGGCGTTTCAAAGTAAGTCTTCACACTGTTCCTAATATAAAAGTCAGCATATTGGCTTTAACGATCTCCTTGCTGTCACTTCCACACTTCAGCTGTACCTGGCTGAGCACAGGGCGAGATGCTAGTCGGTCACCGCAAGCTCCTGAACATCGAATCAGGTTGTCTTCGCGACGATATCGTAAGCGAGGCTTCCGTTCCAAGCCACTTGCTGTGGCTTCTGACCAATGTCTAACCCCCCCCCCCCCCCCAACTACTCACTGTCCATTCGCCAGGTTCTCTCAGCTCGATGCCTGAAAGCGCGTCCACACATGTATAATAGGTAGTAAATGGCACCCCTTAAGGATAACCTCAATTATATATATTCTCAAAAAGAGTGATCCATCGCTAGGTGGCAGAGCGGCATTTCAAAATGGTAGGGTCACAATAGGCAGATGTCCTCGTCGAGATCGTCGCGCTTCTTGCGGCTGCTCCCGGCCTCGTTCCGGTCCCGCAGCCGAGCCTCATCGGCAGATTCTCCACCATCCGGCACATCCACTCCGCAGGCCAGGACACCCTCCGCACCTATCGCAGTCTTCGAACCCTCTCCCCAGGGTCTGAAGGTCGTCGCGGAGGGCGACGACCCTATAGTTGAGTAAGTCATCGTTCTCCTCCTTGGCTCTTCGAGCCTCCCGCGCCTTTCCAGCTGACTTCGCTCCCTCGCTCCTTCGCCCAGCATCGTCGCTGTGCATGGCCTTAATGGCCACCGCGACCAGGCTTGGACCGCAAGCAATGACGTCCACTGGCTCCGCGATCTGCTGCCGCACGATATTCCTCACGCGCGCGTCTTCTGCTGGGGCTACGACGCCAACACCCACGCCGGCTCCCGCGTCAGCTGTCAATACCTCTTCAGCCATGCGCAGACTCTCGTATCCGACCTGTGTAGGAAGCGGAAGCTAACCAACGTAGGGAATATGTTTAACTATTGGCAATTGGGGCAGTTTGGCTGATGAGGACTAGTCGACAGAGCGTCCGATTATATTTGTAGCGCACAGTTTGGGTGGCATCGTCGTCAAGAGCGTAAGTACCAAGGATCTGACCCTGAATCTTAGATCATCATCCTCACAGCTACAGGCCCTTATCCATTCCGATGCCGCGCGCCCAGGCGCGCTGGAGGAACACCATTCCATCAAAGTATCCACCTACGGAATTGTCTTCATGGGCACACCCCATCAGGGCGCCAACGGCGTCCAGCTTGGAAGGCTCCTCATGAATGTTGCCTCCTTGCTCGTGGCCACGGATGACCGGATACTGAAGCACCTTAAAAGAGACTCAGAGTGGCTTCAACAGCAGCTTAGCCAATATGCCCCAATTAGCGGAGATTTTGTCACCAAGTTTGGGTTCGAAGAGTACGAGACTCCCACCGCTTTTGGCCGCTCCATCATGGCAGGTCGCTTTTGGTAGTTTTACTGGAGCAAGCCGTAGCTAACAATGAGCCAGGTGGTGCCTCGCCAGTCCGCCGTTGTGCCGGGCCAAGCAAACGCAGAGCCGATTGCCATCCACGCGGACCATACCAACATGGTTAGATACACCTCAAAACAAGACGTCGGGTATGATACTATATCAGGACATCTCCAGATCATGGCAAGCGATGCCCCGGAGCAGATCCGGCTTCGCTGGGAGGCAAAGAGGAGGGCTAATAAGGGTAGGCGACCCTAAGACACAGAGCGGCCCTGCAGGTAGCTCTAGTAATTGACTATTATGCTTTCTCTTAGAGCGCCTCGATGGTTCCGATGCTACATTTGCCGTCGGCTTCAGTCTCGCGGCGGTCATCCACGGTCAAAATCGGCCATCGCATCCAGCTTAGGAAAATAGAAGACATGAAAGACAGCCTCGAGATCCTGTCTCACGCATCGAACCGACAAGGCTTACAGGAAGGCAAGTGATAAGACTGAGTAGAGATGAACAAGACTAATGTGGTCTATACCCTATAGACGCCGACGCAGTCAGGCTTGCGGAGAACCTAGACGGCCTCTCGCTTGCCCTTTCGTCCGCCGGCGCCTATCTCGATAATACGTCGACGACTTTCGCCGAATACCTCCAGATGTACAATGAGTCGTGGCTCCGCCTCCAGGAGTCGACTCCGGATCTCCTCTCGTACGAAGACCGGGCACTCCACTCCACATGGAACATCTCGTACGCGCAGGTCAAGCGGCAGAACACGGCGTCAGCGATGCTACTGCAACTGTGGGCCTACTTCGACAACGAGGACCTGTGGTTCGAGCTGCTACGAGAATACCACTCATACGGCCTGGAGTGGTTCAGGGAACTGACGAGCGACGCGCTCAACTTCATCCAGGCGGTGCGAGTGCTGTGCGAATACGGGCTAGTCGAGGCGGACACGTCATTGAGGGAACGCGGAACCGAGTCGCGCGGGTACGGCATGCATGCCTGTGTGCACTTGTGGACGGTCCATGTGTTGAACGTGTCGCGGGACATTGCTATGGAGCGGCTGGCGGTGGCATGCGTGGCGTTGCATAGTCCAGAGCAAACGGACAGGGGATGCTGGGCAATGCAACGGCGGCTTATGCAGCACGCCAGCCGTTGTGTTGCCACGCTGATGATGAGCAGGATGCCAACTGTTTAGGGGGACGAGTGGATTCAGTATAACCTCGGCAACCTCTATGGGAGTCAAGGCCGGCTCAGCGAGGCTGCGCTCATGGACGAGCGGGCACTCCGAGACGACGAGAAGATTCTAGGACCCGGCCATATCTTAACGCTTTACACAGTCAACAATCTCGGCATCCTCTATGAGACTCAAGGCCGACTTAGCGAGGCTGAGGCTATGCGTAGGCGCGCCCTCCGAGGGAAGGAGAAGGCGGTAGGACCAGACCATGTGTCAACGCTTGACACAGACTACAATCTCGGCAGCCTCTACAATGCCTAAGGCTAGATTAGCAAGGCTGAGGCTATGTACAAGCGGAGTCTCCGAGGCTATGAGAAGACTCGAGGCCTTGAGCAGGTTGATGGCTATATTCCAGCCCTTCATATGATGCATAATCTCGCGACTATATATCGCACCTGGACAGAGGTCCCGAAGCCAGGTCATTCATTGTATGTGCGTTATCAAGCAGGTCTCAGAGTGGTATTTGGAGTTCAGCAGAAGCGTTTACGAGGAAGTGACTGAGGAATTGGCATCACTAGGTAGACCAGGATTGACAATAAGTATATAAACAACCTCCTGTTGCTATGATTGACAAATAAACTGAGCCTAAAGTTATGGCACTCTGTCCCCTATGTATTCCTCGGTGTGCCACGGGAGGGCTCCCACCTTTTCAATGCCTCGGCTTTGGCAGGTCCTTTTGATTTTCCCTATCCTTTTCTGTATCCTAGGATCTAGTCAATTTACCAGTGAAATTGGCGCGCTTTAGGTCTTTAATATCGTGGTCGTGATATTAGGAAATATGGACCATCATCGCCTGGTTGGTAGTCAATGACGGACCGTCATTGACCGACAGGTTGCCAGTTACACTAGTGCACACTGCACAGTGGTCTGTGCTGATATCTTTCGACGGTAATTAATTTCTGGTTTAGACACACTGTCATCTTCTAGCAGCTTGGAAAGAAACACCTTGAACTTCCTACCAGCCAACAAGCTACCATCTTCCTCGCTTCTTTCCGTTCCCCTCGCTCTTTTCACCACCATTTGGGATTACTCGCAACGCAAACATGTTCGGTGTAGATTGGTGGGGCCTGGTGCTGCCCTTCTCCTATGTGGGCGTGCTGGGAGGCGCCCTCATGACATTCTCTACCATCTATCGCAAGCGGAAAGCTGGTATGCCACATGTTCCTCCTCTACCTCCCCATGGCTACTAACCTTCATTGCAGCCCAGAGCGCAAACCTAGAACCGTGGTTCGGTCCACATCTCCAGCGGAACATCTACCTTTCTCTCCTCCATATCGAGCCCGAGAATGCCTCAGAGAAGAGCCCCAAGATCCCCGACAGCATCTTGAGGGCAGCCCTATTGCGCCGCGCTGTCGAGGACATCCATCGCATCGTTCAGATCCGTGCGGCGAAGGCAGCATGCAGCACGCTTCTGCAGAGGGGGAGCGTGGGTGACGACCTATGGCAGCGGTTCAGCCGCGCGGAGAAGGAGATGGAGGAGGAGCTGAGAGACGTGGTTATGGAGGTGCGTCTTCGCGCGGCATAGCGCATCCTATCCCGACAGACAGCTTCAGGAACTGACTGTGCTTACAGGCCAATGCCCTCGCACCGAACTGGGGCCAGACCATCTTCCAGTCGGCCAACGAGATTGCGGCCAACACCGTGCTCAGGAAGCGGCTCGATGACATCCAGGCCCAGGCCGAGTCGGAGAAGGAGTGGTGGGAGAAGCGCCGCTCCACGATCCAACAAGACTTCATGAAGGAGCTTGACCAAAGTGAAAAGGGGGCATCGAGTGTTGCGAGCGAGGACGAGCCCATCCTGGTCGATGGAGATACTCCTTCGGCAACTCCTTCGGGATCTAAGAAGAAGAAGGGCAAGAAATGAGTCACGCACGTGGCTGTAGAATTGGTTTCGTTGATGCTCTGTATCATATAGTACAGAAATGGGAGTGTATGCGGCAGGAGATGCATTTACAGTTTGGCGTTCAGGGCTGCGATCTTGGAGGGGATTACCAAAGCTATGAATATATATCTCCATGGCGTTGTTCCCCGGCTTCCTGTTCAATCACTGTGAGACCCGCCATGGAATGTGGTCCCGTATCATATAGTCCACTTACAGGGTGGTGACTGCGACGGCTCAGTTCAACAGGAAAACGTCGCCTGAGCTAATCTCGTTTAGTCGACATGACTGATCGTGCCTGAAGTTTTCTCCTTCCTATTGGAACATATTTGTATCTAAAAACAAGGGGAAACGGGGAAACAAAAGGGAAGCGCCAATTCGAACAGATATCGAGACGCCCTCATCGAGCCACCTTTTCATCCGTTAGAGCTCCTTACACACCCTTCGGGAACTTGTGGAACGCATCCATGATTTTATCAATCGGCGCAGCAAGCAGGCCTGCAGCCGTTTCAAACGGTGGCCTGTCAGGGGCGCCAGGGTGACTGCGCGTGGGCACGAACATCTTGGTGCGCTCGAAACTCCTGGCCAGGTCGGAAGAGCCCTCTTCGGAGAGCGAGTTCTCCAGCCTCGGCAGCTCGTCCTCTTCCTCTTCCCTGATATGCTGTGCCAGGTTACCCATCAGGGTCTTGAGCGTCGGCCTGAAGTCCGCGTCGTCGGCCGAGAGCTTCTGGAACTCGTACAGCTGCTCCTTGACCTGGAATGGTCTCATATCAGTCCATGCAATGACCCGGGGGAGCGCGGATTCGGGGACTTATACCGTCAGGTGTTCCTGGCGATCCTTGGCCGCCGTCTCCTTGCCGTCTGGGAGATTTTTCTCCATGACTGGATATACGACAATCTCCTCACCGACGGAGTGGCGGGCCAGTTCCCAGACAAAGGCGTTCTGGTGGCGGGTCATCTCGTCGTTGTCCTTTGACCTCATGATGCGGTCGTAGTGGTCCTTAAGCTCCTCGTGGTCCTTGATGATAACATCTGAGACTCGAGACTTGTCGAGGGCAGATGTTGAGAAGGTCCGTTGCGCAAGGGTTGGAATCAATCCGGTGACCTGAGGGCGGCAAAGGAAGTTCCTTGAGAGTGTTGCGGTACGTGTGAGTAGCATGGTTTAAGAGTTTTCCAAGATGGCGCATGAGACTCGAGGTGGCATTCACGAGAATAATGAGATTGTGGTCTTTATAGCACCTCGGTGGTATACTTGATAGCCCAAGACGACCCATGGCTATAGAGGTCGACCAACTAGAGGCGCTGTATTAGAAGCCTACCATCCATTGAGACTGACAACCACCCTCATGTCCTAATGGAGTTGTCATGGCTTGTCAGTCTGACGTTGCTAGCATCAACAGCTCAAGAGGAATGGCCTCCGAGCACCATGATCAGCCTCCGGGGACAGGCTCTACGGAGCGAAATGTCCGCCATATATCCATGACAAATGATAGCAGTTGCCAAAATCAAATGTCGAGTTCATACAATGACCAGTACTGCGATATGTGGAGCGATGGAGATATACCCGGGATCTGGCAAGATGGTGGCGGTCGATCGCAATGTCATGGTGATATCATTGGTATTAGTGACGGTTCAGGGACCAGTCAACTAGTCTACAGGCACTAGACAACCACAATTGAACAAAACTGCCTCTGGACAGAACGAAGAGGGACACAATCGAAGCCAGTTCATATACCTTGAAATACACATACAGCTTGACATTTGAAGTCCCTTTACTGGATCAAACCCGCAGATCAACTTTGCACCACGCTCAACGTATACTCCCAACCGGAGAGGCAATTTCCAACAATGGACTCAGCAAAACAGAAATTCAACGAGGCGTACGACAAGACTAAGAACACAGAAAAGGATGGTAAGCCATCTCCAGAAATTGGGCAGGTAGATGAGTGGTTGAACAGTGGCACTGACTCCTGCACCCCAGCTCGTCCCCAAGCGGGCAACTTGCACCCGTCCAAAGAGTCTGGCAATGAGGTAACGCCGAACTTGGCGAGCAAGGGAAGCTCGTCGACGGATAAGAAGTCAAAGGGAGGTGGTGGCGGTGGCTTGCTGTCGAGCATGTTCTCCGGGTCGGGTGGCGACGCAGCTCGTTGAATTGGGGGGGAAAGGATCTGGGGGGTTTCCCTTTGCCAGAATCTGATAGACTGTACTGTATAGATGGAGACGTGATGTCCCGATTGCATCGAACACTCGAACAGATAATTGGACGCCGTGTCAGCATTCGAGAACTACAAGAGACCGGTCGTGCTAACTAGGTAACCAAGCATCTGCAGGACTTGGCTCTCCCCGGAGCGATTGTGACCGCTACATGTAAACAGCGACGGACTATTTTCCGAGTAGTTCCAGTCTGCCGCAGCATCAAGATTTAAGTATGCGGCTAAGATACCTGCCCAAGGCTAAGTGGTCAAATCAAGCACCCAAATCGATTCCATGGATTGTGTCTGGGTCTAGGAAAGATGGCAACATCAGAACCTTTGATTTATATTCTAGCAACCCTGTCAAACCCCATGCTTTCTACCACGGGAACGACACCCTCGAAGCGAGAGACAAAAACGAGTCAAAGACGACATGGCAACCCCCCAACGAACTCAATACCAACCCATCTTCCTCCTAAACATCTCCATCTCATCCTCACTCTCCCTCGCCCTCCTCGCCGCCTCCACAAACTCCTCCTCACTCCCATACCCCAACCTCGCCACCGCCCCTCCGCACCCCCCGGCCGCGGGGCTCTCGCACCCGCGCAGCCCGATGAACCTCCCGAACCGCCTCCTCTTGGCCCCGAGCGGCACGTCCGACCTCCACGGCACGGGGCACGGGTAGTGGCCCGACCAGGCGCACGGCGTGCGCTGGTGGTAGAAGTGCGCGAGCGCCTCGAGCTGGCCGTCCGTCAGCAGCCAGAACGCCAGCAGCGTCGCGGGAAAATCGGCGTGCACCCGCCCCGTCGTCAGCTGCACCAGGGGCGCGAGCGGGAGCGCCATCTCGCGGATCTTGGCCTCCAGGGCCGGGTTCTTGGCCGCGCGGCGGCGGGAGAGGGGGGGGGTGGGTTGCGCCTGGGGCATTCTTGCTTTTTTTGTCGGGAGTGCGGAGGGTTACTTGGTTGGTGGCGATGGAGTTTTTTCTTGTCGCTTGTCTTGAAGACTGCGTAGCACTTCTTTTTCCTTTCCCTTGTTGTTTGGGGCCGGCCAGGCAAAATAGGGGTCGGGTGGGACGTGGGTAGAGCGGGGAAGAGGTGATATTAAGAGGAGGTACGTATGCTGATGGTATAAAGTGCCACGGTTTTCAAGGACGGTTGTTTTTTCAACATGAACGAGAGGACGGGGATGGGGGCTTGTCTCAGTCGCGTTGCCGTCGCTGCCAGCAGCAAGGAGTTGTATCTAAAGTGGAACAGAACAGTTGGTCTGAGTTCGTTAATCGCAAGGTATTGAGTAGGTTGTGTCCTAGGGGAACCACTCTGGCATTATAACCTTCTCCAATCCTTTGTTCTCGAAAGCATCCTTTCAGACCCCGAGTTCGGAATATGCTCTTTGGTGGCTGATCTATCTTTGGAACCGAGTCCAAATTCTGTGCATTGATGGCTTCTTTCAGGGCCCCACGCGCCAACCTACCCCAAGAGCCGTTTGCTCATGGAACAGAGAGCGGGCTTTGCGGGCGGGATGCCATCGCGAGGGCATAATATAATGCACCCTCCCCACTGCACATAATTCCAGCTCAAAGAATCCATCTTCGACTATAGCCACTTCAACTTGGCAATGTGGTCCGCCTTTTTCCTGCTCTGCTTGACAAAGCCCATGCTCTTCAACTCCGCCAGAGCCTGGTAGAACCGGACCAGGGCAGCTCGCTCGTCGAGGCCGGACTCGCCCTCCTCCCCAACGAGGTTGTAGAAAGCAGACCACAGGTCGGAGACGTTGATGAGAGAACCGGCCTCCAGGTAAAGATGGTAGAGGATGGCTGTGGCCGGCAGACTCGCCGACGTTGTTCCGTTGGCTTTGCTGCAGCAGGAACATGCCAGGTAATCGTTCGGGCGGGACAAAGCGCGCTCGATCGTTGTCCCCGGCCGGGGGATGAAGACATCCCTGTGGGGTGATTTAGCGTCGTAGACCCAGATCTCGTTCAAGAACTGGCTATGGATGCTCTCGCATGATATCGCCCTTGTCAGGAGCTCCACTAGTTGGTCGAGTGCCTCGGTGAATGCTTTGTCTTCGGCCGTCAATTTAGCAGTGTCCTGACTGAGCTGGACCTTTTGTGCTACCACTGTGGTCCTTAGCACCTTGTTCTGAGCACCGTATTTGCTTCGAAGCGCCGTCCCGTTCTCTTTTGCCTTGTTGCTTAAAGACTCGACCTCGTCCAGTAAGCCCGTTAGTCCCGCAAGAAGCTCTTCGCCATCCCCCTCCGATGCCCACCCGGCAAGACCAAGCTCGGAACTTCCGTTCCTGACCGCATCCGAAAGCCGCCGAATGAGGGGCGTAACTTCGCCTGGCTGCAACCGCCGGATAGAGTCGAGGAAGGAAGAATCGTCTGAAGTTAGGTCGATGCCATTGGACAGAGCCGCTATGTAGAGATCCATGAAGGTACCAATAGGAATACGGCTCGCCTGCATCAGATGCAACGACTGTAGCAACCTTGTCGCATAGTCGTTTCTCTTCTGTCTTTGCTCGAGGATTGCGCCGATAAGGAAGGTGTCGTCTTGCAGCAGCGAGAGCGCATGATTCAATTGCCTCGCATCGACTGCCCCCTCGACATGAGCCCTGAAGGAGGGAAGCATCCGGACAGCCTCGAGGTGCTCGGGCTGTAGGCGTTTCCGAGAAAGCTCGTCGTCGTCGCCATCGTCGTGACGCAGCACGCTCAGGGGGTTCGCGTAGAAATGGCACATATACGCATACTTGACCGAGCTGACAAAGACCTGAATGCCGGCAACCTGTTCACGCTGCCGCTCGACGAGAGTCCCGAGTAGGTCGGGTCCCAGCCTCAGCGCGACGTCCTTGGCGGCAATGGCGGCCTTGAAGACGCTCTCCAACACCGAGTTCGCCTGGACCACATCGAACTGGCCGCCGTAGAGGTGCTGCGCCGTCGACTTCAGCAGCCGGGCCTGGAACAGCTGCACAGACGTGGCGATCCCGAAGAGGAGCGTAAACTGGATTCGGTCACGCCATGATCTGAAGCGGACAAGCGGGCGAGGTTAGACTGCGCGGTCGATGCCTGCTGCCCAGCAAAAGGGGAGGAGACTTGCCTGAAAAGCAGAATTAGGTCTGAGAGGAGAGCACCGTCGAAAGCCTCGGTGTCTTGAAAAGCTACAATGACCCGACGGGACTCGGAAGGCTTGACGAAGGCATGTAGCGCCTCTAGATCGTAGCCTAAATACTTCCGCCCCTGGAGCATCCAGTGTCAGGGGGGAGGGTTCGATCCTAGGACGGGGTTGTGCAGGCTTACATCTTGACCGACAGAAACCTCGAGGTCTTCTTCGTCACCACCAACCGTCGACGTTGCCACTCTGATGATCTTCTTCAAAGTGGTCTTGAGATTGGGCGCCTCTGCGGATCGAAGGCAGACGATCTTGGCTGGACTCGAGTCACGAAGGCTCTCGGCTAGTTGCTCAAAAAGGAGCTGCTGTGAGGCAAGATTTGGCCCAGTAATGATGAACGCGGAAGGTATCTTCTCACTGTCGATTTCTGTTAGATCGATAAGCGCTGGAGGGGGCAGGCTGGGTCGCACTTCTCGTCTGGCGCACCGCGTATGAAAGCGCCAACCTCGTCCAGTGTGTTTCTGTTCGCTTCGCGCAGCACATGCTATGCAGAGTTAATACTAGAACCGGGGCCCCCTTTTCACCTAGGATAGCCGAAACCCACGTGAATACGGGTCTCGATGCTAGACCAAGCCTTCTCAAAGAGCTGCTCTCGGACGGTAACACACTCTGTACTCTCAACTCCATTAAAGAGAGGTACGAAGGAGGCGGCCGATTTCCTTGGTACTATGTCCGGTTTGCCTGTCCCTTTCCTGGACGTCTTTCGCCTTTTCGATGGGCGGGCGACTTGATCAGGCTCATCATGAGGACTGAAGACGAAGGCAGGCTACACGGAAAACTTCAGCTCTCTTTTGCTACGCCGGAACTGGCAAAATCGAACTGACATACCTGATGATCATAGTCATTCTGCAATTCCGGATTATCTTCCTGGTCAGCCATGATGGAATCTGTTTTTCATACAACCCAGTGGGCATCTATCCATACTATTAAGACAGGCGCGACTTTCAATGGGTGTCGCGTCTGTGGCTGACAGTTACGCGCACGAGCCACCTATATCGTTGTCTGTGCTTTCCCAAGTACCTACCTAAGCTTCCCCCAGCTCGCTTACAATATTGCACATCGAACATCCCAGCTGGAGGAATGAAGAGAGAACGACGCTGGAGAGGTAGAGAGAGTTGCTCTTATTATATTCATCTGCCGTAAGTTTTATTCGTTATTTCAAAGAGCACTTTTTGTAATAGGATGCGGTTGTGCCTTCGATCTACGCCCCCCCATTCCAGAATCAAGAGCACTGGAAATTCATCATCCTATGACTTGGGACCAAGGTTATGCTCTGCGGATACCGTGGCAATATTCCGTCTTCCTAGCTGGCCTCCTGCCGTGTATTTCTCCCACCTGACCTGCAATATCTGGCCTATCCGCGCGGACCTCCGCCTCACCAAGATCCCAACCACCGAGCAAAGAGATCAAATCCACCCCGTTATTTCCCCCAAAACACCTGGGACGGACCTGTGTAAAGGATCGCAGGAGGGAAAGCAAGGAAAAGAAAGCAGATAGTTGTACAAGAAACCGGGGGGACTTCCTCCGTTGATCGATATGGCCCCGATATGGCAACTGGGGTTGTTGCATATGACATGCGTGGCACTCGGGTCTTTGGTGGCCATGGGGAAGATCGTGGGACGCAGATTAGGTAGAGGCTTCGACGGCTTCGGGAGCCTTTGTCTAGTGGGTTAGGTATCAGCTGTTAGCTTCTAGGTCTGCTTCTGTGCGGCAAGGGTTGACAGAAAAAGGCCATGTTTACCCCTTCTGCCGACGACTCTTCAGGCTTGGGTGGCTCAGCGCTGGCTGCGCTCTGCTCTTTGACGCCGTTGGTCTCGGCCTTGGCCTCGGGCTCTCCCTTGGCATCGGATGCCTTGGCAGCTGTTCCGTTGACTGCCTTGGCAGGCTCTGTTGCTCCCGCAGTCGCAGGGGCAGAAGCGGCTGGTTCATCGACTGCGAGGATCTCGTTCCACTTCTCAAGCAGGGCTTGGGAGCGCGGCTTGAACCGGAACTCCTCCTCCTTTGGAATGGTGTCCAGCTTCAGAATAGCCTTGAGGACCTTGTTGATCTTGGTCTCCCGGATGATGCTGGCCTCAAGATCTGGGACGGATTCCAACTTGGATAGGAAATCCGACATGGCCCCCATTTCGTCCTCCTTGGGCTCCTGATCGCGGGTAAGGAGGCCCCTCTGGAGCTTGTGTCGGAGGAAGAGAGCCTCTTTCTGTCGGGATAGATTTAGCCGGTGCTTGCATATTCCATCATGTTCCTTTCAGATCCTTACCTTGCGGCGCTGGTACCGCTCCTCTGGGGAGAATTCAGGTTCCTTAGAAGCCATGTCTTCGTCCTGTGGGCTCTTCTCTTCAACCTCGCTGACACTCTTCCTGGATTTGGGCTTAGGAGTCTTGGACTGGCTTTGAGCCTTTGATGACTTGAGAGCTGAACCTGGACTGTTGGCGGTTTTTGGCGTTGAGTTCAGGGTCAGCTTGATTTTAGGCTTTTTCACAGAGTCCGAACGCTGCGGGGTCTAATGGACAGAAAGTGTCAGTCATGGGTGTAGGTTTGTATGGAAGGGGAGCTGCATAAGAGCAGGAGCGCTTACCTCAGCACTTCCCTCTGCCTTGCGCTTCTTGCTCTTCTTCTGCTTGCCCTCGTCCTCCTCGGCATCATCATCGGCCATGTCGACGTCTTCATCTTCCCCAGCCTCGGCCTTAGCTTTCTTGCTCTTCTTGGCAGGAGTGGCTTGAGCCTTTGGCTCCTTGGCTTTCTGCTGTTGAAGAAGGTCTTTCTGGTACTTGTCAAGGACGTCTTTGTAGTAATCTAGGGAGTGGCTCTCCGAGGCCAATTTATGAGCAGCTTGGAGGTCCTTGCGCATCTTGTCCATCTTGACCTCCATGACAGTCTCGGGATCAAGGTCATTGAGGTCGCTATTGGGCACCCATCCGCTGTAAGAAATAAGGGGTTAGTTCAGAGACCTGCTTCAGGAATAGTACAATTGAGGCGTAGGAGGGTTGTAGACGGACGATATGCACAGCTCTAGGTACCTATCTAGGGCAACAGGCGACAGTGATAGGGAAAAGTGACTTACAACTCGTTGGTGTGCAGATACATGACTGGGTAAGTCCGATCGTGCACTCTCTTGCCACCGTCAGCGTAATCCTCTCGATATGTGCCATCGACCCGGACAGCAGTGACTGGGCGCGACTTGATGAGTGCCTGAGGAAGCATGTCTTCATCGCAAATGATTGCCGGCCACTGGGGGAAGCCCTTCAGCTTCACAAAGAAGTGGTCACCAGGCTTGGCGTCGAGATGCAGGATCTTGGCCTTGGAGGCCTTCCTGTTAAGCTTCTTGCCCTTGGTATCTGAACTGGCAGCAGACTTGCGTCGCCCCTTGCTCTTATCAGATGGAGTGACAGAGTTGTCAACCATTGGGCTAGGATTGGTCTCATCATGCTGCGCCGACTCTGGCTTCTCAGCCTCTCCAGTGGCTGGGGCTGGCTCGGAAGCGTCCTTCATCTCGACGTCGGGGGATTCTGCTGGTTTCTCGGCTGTTTCCTTCGCAGCAGCTGTGAAGGGAATAGTGGTTAGCTTGGGTACTTCGAATCGCCGTGAGGGGAAAGGTGAAAGGTGGGTGAGTGCAAAGCTACCTTCGTCGGCCTTCTCCTGGGCAGGCGCAGTCAAGTTCGCCGTGTCGTTCCCTTTAGGGTCAGACTCAGACGCAAGTGCCGATTCCTTCTTAGGAGGCTCAGTTGAAGTCATGGTGTGAGGGGCTTTATCTGACGGCGTTGCAGGTGGTGGAGTTTGTGTGGCCGACGCGCCGGTGTTCTCATCAGACATGTCGAAAAAAAAGTGGCGACGTGATGTCAGGACCGTGCCTCGTGCCTCGCGCCGGAATCAAAATATCCAAGGTCAAGGTTGGGGAATAGCGCGTATGATCGCGTGTGGATAAGCAAGCTAGCAGTAGTCGCGTGGCCCCCCAGGAAGTCGCGATGAAGGTCAACGGCTGCGCAATTGGTAAGGATGCGCACAATACTGGGTGGTTGTGTACGAGTGCGGATGAGAGAGACAAATCGCTGCGGCGGGTGAAATAAATTTGGGGCCATATTGGAGAACCCAGCCACGTGATATTTCAAGCGGGCTGCAGGAGGTGGAGGCGACCAGGAGGGTAAACACAACTGGCACCAAACTGGCAACAAGCTGCTCCGTGCTTGATAGTCCCATGGTCCAATTGCAAGAGTCTGTCCATTGTGGAAAAGTTTCAAGATACAGAAAACACCCCTATTTCCACAGTCCCAACAACAACCACCTACCTATCCTAAGCCCCTTTTTTATCTCGGCCATAGAACCACATCCTGCGCACCACCGTCATCGCCGTCTCTCCCCCACATACTGCCTGACCTCCAGTTTCTGGATTGCCGTCAAGGCAGCAGCTTCACCCCTCCCTATGGATAGCCCTGGCCCTAACCCATCGAGTATTCGCAAAGACACCACTCCTTCAGAGCTAGGCTGAACCATGTAGGACCGCCTAGTGGGAACTTTGGGACCAACAGAGCTTCACCAACCGGCTATATCGCGCCATATTAATCCTCCTATAGGTACAATACACAGCCGCCCCACTTCCCCAGCCCCCAAGGGTTTAGCGGAAAAGAAGGCCGGCCACATCTCACACTCTTTACTCGTCATCCTCTTCTTCGTCCTCGTCGTCGACTTCCATGCCTTCTCCAACAGTGACAGAGAAACTCGGTTCTTGGTCCACTCCGACGTAGCTGTCGCTCATCAGGAACAGCTTTAGATCATGCTGTCCTGGTGTCGGGACGGTAAACTCCAGTTTGGATTTGAGACTGCGACCGATGGTAACCCGCTTGATTGCGAGCAAGGTCTTGGTGCTCTCGTCCCCAACCACCAGCCACCAGTTCTCCAACTTCTTGACGGGATAGAATGGAGCGTGGACCGTGGGGTCGAACTCCTCGTCCTCGTCGACCTCCCGCTCGATCGTGATGTTCAGGTAGGAAGGCTCTCCTGCTCGGAGGTTCTCCTCGTCCTCGACCTGGAACTCCAGCGAAACATCGGGGTACTTTGAGTTGGTGAAGTTGGCCGCCTCGGCAAGTTGCTTCTGTGACAGACCAAGGCGATTGACCAGCTCGCCGTACTTCGGATTCTCTTCTGGGTTCATCTTGTCCATAAAGTCGAAGATATCCTTGATGCGGAACTCGTTGGCTACCTTGACCACCTCGGGCGTGAAGTGGGGAATCTGCTTCAATGGGCTGTCCCGGTCCCACATGGCCTGGACAACCATTTGGGACATCTCCATGGCGTTCATCGCGTTCAGGTGTCCGTCCGAGGAGAGGATGTCGACGCATGAGCTAAGGAGACTCAGTATCCTCGAGACAATCACCTCCTGGTCCTTTGCAAGGTCGATGGGCAGCTGCATCCTCGAGAAGTGCGCCTGGAGGAGAACAAATGCCTTGAAATGTGGCGAGTCGTAGACCGGCTGGGCCATCTTGACTGGCACACGGTCGTAGATACGTCGCAGGATGCTTTCTTCGTGCCGCCTGATCTGGATAGACTCGAATTCGGTCGCCGACGTGACAATCTCCAGGATGCCCTTCAGCTTGGTGCGGGCACTCAGGGACAGCAGGAAGGTCTGCATCGTGATGTACGAGATGTTGTAGTAGGCCGCAATCATGGCAGCGTTCTGGGGAGCAACGGAGCCGTCTTCGTCATCGAAGTCGATGATCTTGGACTCGGTGAGGTCCTTCAGGGTCGCCTCCACAAGATCCGACAGGTATCTGCTCAAGCCGTCGTGAGTCGGGTCTGTCAGGCTGTAGTAGCTGGGATTGGCAAGCAGGCGGCGGTAGAAGTAAGTAAACGTCGTCCAGTTGATCGCGTCGTCGCCGGACTCGATCATCTTTGTGCTGATCTCGGTCACGAAGGCATCGTGGAGGAAGTTGTGGAGATGCGACTCGACGGGCAGAGCCTCGTTCAAGAACTTCTTGTAATACTCCCGCTTCACGGCAGGGAGCATCAGGACACCTCGGCCTCTGCCCTCCTCGGACGGCTGGAGCGCCTTACCGAACATTTGCAAGATTTCGCTCAGGGGAAAGTCGACGTAGCGATGTTCTCGTCCCTCGAAGTACTGGGTGCCCATGACTATAACAAGGTGTGCCTTGCAGTCAAGCTCCCAGCACGTGTCGCGAGAGGCGACCAGGACTTGAATAGCACCCTGGTCGTAAAGATGTTTGACGATACGCTTGTCGCTCTGGGTGAGAGCCTCGTGATAGTACCCGATACCGTGCGAAAGGGCCTCGGCCAGCGCTTCTTCCTGTACTCGGTCCAAGAGCTTCTGGATCTGCTCGACCTCCACATGGAGGAAGCGGTCTTCATCATCATCCGCCACACAGGCGGTCAGCAGGTCCCGGGCCGTGGCCCTCGTTTGTTTCCTGCTTGGCACGAAGACCAGAGCGGGCTTGTCCGGGGACAGCTGGGTCACGGCCAGGTATGTCGGCTTCGCCATGGCCAGCATCAGAGACGGGAAGTGCGGGATGGTGTACGACTGGATATGGAGCTCGAGGGGCACAGATCGGACATGCGGGCTGAAGTTATAGATGTCATGCTTCCGGGCATCGATCCACTCCCCAACATCTCGAGCATTGGCCAGAGAGACGGACAGGCCGAGGATTCTCATCGGCAGCTCCGTCTGTGTCCGGATGTAGTGCATGCGCGACACGATGATCTCATAGACATAGCCCATCTGGCCACCCAGCATGTGGAGCTCATCGGCGATGAAGAGCTCGATCGTCTGGACGTTCTTCCGCCTCTTCCACTGCCGGGAAAGCACGTCCCACTGTACGGGTGTGGCGAGAATAAGATCGCCCTGTTCGAGGAGCTTCAGGTCCGTTGCCGTCTCCCCCGTCAGCTTCACAATATCCTTCCCGCCTCTGAGGCCCGAAAGCCGCTTTTGCCAATCCTGGAAACGCAGATCCACGAGCTCTTGGAAGGGCGCAACGTAAACGGCGCGTCCGGAATCTTGCTTCGCCCAATGGCGCAACAAGGCAAATTCGGCGCAAATCGTCTTGCCACTCCCGGTCGCCGCCCCGATGAGGACGTTGTTGTCCGTGGTATACAGCGAGTTGAACGTCTGTGTCTGCACCTTGTTGAAGTGCTCCCAGTCAGGATAGAGGGCCGCGTAGTCCTTGGCCTTGAGGGCGGAAACCGGCAGGGGCTGGAGATTGAGGAGCTCGGTGTGAGGAGGGAATTTCTCGGGAAGAATGAGCTTCTGGAACGACACAGCGAGCCGGGTCTCCGAGTGCATCCACCTGTCGGAAACAACCGAGATGAAATAATTAGGCGGCATCGGCTCCGTGATGGGGACGGTGAACTCGACGACGTGCTCGTTTGACTCGGACTCGGCGTAGTCCTTGCGGAGGAGGAACTGGTCATGGAACAGGATGTCCTCCCCGTCACAGTCCTCGACGATGATCCAGAAGCTCTCGGCAAGGCCATGGACGTCGTCATCCCACTCGAAGTTTGGCGCAATCGTAAGCTCAACGCGGAGCATCGATCTCGTCATTGGCTGGACCTGGGCATTGATCTCGACTCTGGGGAACTTGGCCACAAGCCCACAAACAGTCTTGCCGGCTCTCGGCATGCCCAGCAGTTCTCCCATGCGGGGAGGGTCCAGGTCGAAGTAGCTGCTGAAGGGGACGTCGATCCGCTCTGCCTTTTGGATGATTTCGCGAGGACAGGCCTGGAACTGCCGCAGGGGCGACATGGTCGGCCACATTCGCTTCTCTGCCATCTTACAGAGATCCAGTGCCGTCTTGGCCACCGACGCCCAGCCCTTCTTGAGAGTGATCTCAAAGATTGCTCGTAAGATGCGGCCCGCCGATTGGGTGACATAGACCATGTCAGCCATGAGGGCCAGTCCGTCAAGCTTGAGGCGTGAAATGTAGGCTTGAAGAAGCACGTTGATCTTGGCATGAGGCTCGTCAAGGCTCTCCTTGACTGGGATGGGGACTCTGCCCAGCAACTTGGCAAGTTCCAGCTTCTCCTCCTGACGGACGGGGATGTACTTGAACTCGCCGCTCTGAGCGAAGACTCGGAACAGCTCGATGGTAGTGATGGATGGCTGGATGAGCGTGTTGTAGGTATCCATGGACCCGTACGTGATGTAATAATGCGAGGCGATGCGGCCGAGTTCCGTGGACTGGAGCTTGCCAGTCTTCTCATCGTACTTGACAAGGTTGGACTTCCTGAGGACAGTGGCCGCCGAATGTATCAGGTCGACACGCTTCTGCTCGAGCGCGCCGTCCTCCTCATATTCCGCGCCGACGCTGTAGAGCCCAGGTGAACGAAGCATCCGCACAAAGAGATAGGTATAGCCCAACCACTCGACACCCTCGTCTCGGTTCCTGACGTTGCCTAGAACGATTTCGGCGTTGAGGTTGTCGACGAGTTTGCTGACCAGCTGACTCTCGATTGGCAATTGCTGGTTGAGCAGAGAAAGGTAGTACTGCATCTCTCCCTGACTAGTGATTATGATACCTTCGCCGTACACGTCGAACTGAGGCCGGCCGGCACGCCCCAGCATCTGCAGGACATCTTGTGGGCTGAGTTCGACCCAGCTTCCCTTCTCTGGAGAGTATACTTGGGTGCCCTTGATGATGACAGTGTGAGCTGGAAGGTTGACACCCCAAGCTAGCGTAGCCGTGCAGACAAGAACTTGGATGTGGCCGTTGGCAAACAGATCCTCGACATCGGTTCGATCGGCGCGGCTCATGCCAGCGTGGTGGATACCAAATCCATACGGCAAGATATCCTTCAGGTCGCGATCCGTGGCCTGATTCGCAGCCTCGCTCAAGACCTCGCGGGTGCCGGCATCGTGCTTCAGGATCTGATTGATAGTGTCCAGCTCCAGAGCCTTGTCTCGGATGTACTTTGCCGTCTTCGCCGTCTCTTTCCGAGAGTGGACGAAGATCAGCATCTGATTTCGGTGGGTCCCAACATGCTCAATGACCTTGCTGTAGGTAATGTCGTTCATAGTCTTGAGCTGCTTGATGGCCTTCCTCTCCGTCACGCCGATAAACTCTTGGCGCAACGGACAGGGACGAAACGAGCCGTCGAAATGGAACATGCCCGTCTTTGGGTCGACCCGAAGGAAACTTGCGACATCCCGATAGTTGGGCAGGGTCGCAGACAGGCCGACAATCCGCACCGGCTCTCCGGTCTGCTCAGTTTTCCGGATAGTCCTGCTAACGACACTCTCGAGGACGGGGCCACGCTCATCGTGCAGAAGGTGGATCTCGTCGATGATGATAAGCCGGACAAGGTTGGTATAGGACATGTCCGTCGCTTTTCTGGTAATGACATCCCATTTCTCTGGCGTGGTCACGATAACCTGTGTTTCTGCGATCTGTTGTTTTGTGAGTTGCCTGTCGCCAGTCAACTCGGAGACTTTCACGCCGTAAGACTCCAGTCTCTTTCCGAAGTTTCCGACCTGCTCCTGGACAAGGGCCTTCAGAGGCGCGATGTAGACGATCTTGAACGCGTCCAGATCGATTTCGCCAGTCTGAGGGTCGCGGTTCTTCCCTATTTCCCGTAGAATGGAAAGCATGGCCACGTTTGTCTTACCACTACCGGTAGGAGCGCAGATGAGCAGGTTTCCGTCGTCCTGGAATGCTGCGGGATAGCATTTAGACTGGATCTTGTTGAGAGTCTTGACAGTACTGAACGGCACTCGGGACCACTCAGGCATGTCGGTGACAGGAACGTTCAAATCGCTGGGATCATTACGCTTCTTCGGGGGTGGCACATGGATCTCCTCATAGCCCTTGAATGTCCGCTTAGTGGTGCCCTCTGGCAATCTGACCTTGGGGTTGGTCATAAGATGATTGCCCTGGTCGAAGACTAGGTTCTCCAGGTTGATCAACTTGCGCGGCGCAAGTCCACCCACGAGTTGCCCTTCTGCACGCTCCTCCTTTGGAGCGGTTCCGTCGGCGAAGGGCGCCGAATCGATGTCCATCTTGATTTCCATCTTGGACTTCCTCTGGTCATCCGCGGTCTTGCCGTGCAACTCGTTCAGAATCCAGCGCAGACCACCCGACACCATTTCTTTTTCGACAGACTCCCGCTCCGAGTCGCCCTCGGCGCGAGCCAACCGTGTAAGCCACACGACCTTCTCCCGGTTCTCGATGAGTTTCTGCACAACTTCATGGTGATCGTAGTCAAACAGCTCCATGAGGTCGTTCTCAATCTCTCGGAGCTGCTTTGCTTCGCCACCAGACTCATCGGGCTCCCCTGAGAGGATACGCAATGCCGCCAAGGTCTTGTCGTGCTGCGTATGGGCGTCGGGGTAGAGTTTGCCGATCTGGCGCTGGAGCCAGTAGGCGTCGATATCTCTGGCGGGAATATAATTCTTCCCCTTGTGTTCGCCTTGCCGACCTTTGTCCGACGGGCCAGAGTCTATGACCATTTCTTCGCCATCTGCGAGGCCGACTTCTTCCTCGACGCGATCCATGTCTGCGTCGCCGCCCGCCGCACGCTCGTCGAGGTCGGGCTGATCTTCCTCGTCCCCTTCCTCGTCCTCGTCTTCCGAAGATTCTTCTCGGACCTCGTCGACCATGCCATCGTCATCCTCCTCGTTGTCAAAGTCGACGGCTACACCTTGGCGTTCGTCGATTTCTTCGTCCCCGGCCTGGTTGACATCCTGCATGCCTTCATCTTCATCTTGCGCATCGTAATCCGTGATTTTCTTGCCCAAGTTTACGAGCTCGTTGAACTGCTTCGAACTCATCGTAGCGCCTAGTATGTCATCAATCTCCTTCTTCTTGTCGAAATCCTTCAGGTCATCATCCTTGAGGTACTCGAGGGTAGCGTCGGCAGCACTGCGGACAACCTCATGCGGAACGTCGCCCAGGTTCTCTGCGACAATGGTGAGGATAAGGTTGAACGAGTCTCGTGTTGGTTGTGTGCGTGGTCGATATCGAAGACCCTCGATCAGCGCTTCGGCGCCAGACAGAATGCCACCGGCCCTCGACATGCTCGCATCGGGTTTCCCCTTCCGCCGCTCTCGCTGCAGAACGTCTTCGCCCTCCCCGAGGCTACCTCGCTCGACGTCCGGCATGGCACCGGCCTTCTTCTGCTTCGGCGCAGCATCCCGCGCAACTCGCGCTCCCATGTCCCTGATAGACAGGCGGCCTGCCAGTGACTCCGGGTCTCCAGTCGCCTCATCAGTTCGTCTTGAGACAAACCGACGATCCGCCTGGAGAACCAGGTTGGACATGGCCGAGTACTTGTACTGGGAGACATCTCGATGATGGTCCGCCATTTTGGTGGTTGTGATGTGAAACCTCGGAACGACTGTTGAGGTTGCCTAAATGACTGGAGGCACTGCAGCTGCCACGCGTGGCGAGTCCTATCGCCGAGAGGACGCTGTCTTACTCCCTGCCCCAGACCGTAATCTCTCTGATGACTCTAAGTTGGCCCGAAGCAGTCATTGGGTCGTTACGCGTGTGTTCTGTGAGGAGCTCGCTCCTTCTTTTGTTTTGCCTTGTTGCTTTTAAAGATCGAAAGGCAAAGTACGGAATTATCCCAGCCAAATTTCTGTCACTGTGGATTTCTGATTCCCCCCGGCCCTCCAATCAGGCATTGGCTCCTGGAGACTAATTCTTGAGATATGACTCACCGCCTTCACACGGGCTACCTAGTTCTGCCAGCATTAAAGGGCGGTGAGCTCCGTCGCGATGTTGACTATTTCTGATTTCTGCGATTATTGTTTCATTCCTATACTGAACCGCTTTTTACGAATTGATGCAAAATTGTCTAGATGTGTAGATGTTGTAATTTTGCCCTTTGCTACCTACAATCCTTGGTTAGATAGCAGGGACGGATAATGGTGCGTCCCTAGGGCCAGCACTTACCCAGGTCACAGGTGGTTTTCCAACCCGTAGTGAAATAAATCCAATGGCACCCCGCTACCTACCAATGTTTACTCCCTTAAGCCTTCAAATAAACAACCGTCTTTCCCAACACCGGGCTTCCTCTAACACCAAACTGTCTTTCAAAGCCAGTCCATGAAGGGTATTTCATACACTGTGACTTAAAAGGCCATTCGCCCCAAGTATTTGCAGCTTCACACTTCTCTTGTGTATCCCCTTTGGAACCCAAGATGAGCGCCAGCAACGAGTCGTGGCAGGACATACGGGAAGCGCTCAACCCTTATATCCGGCCAAGAGAAGAGGCGGCATATATCAGGCGAGTGCTGGCGCTCCACCTTGATTCCTGTGTCAAGGACGATTCAGTGCGCAATCCCCTGGCTCTCGTGGAATCAACCCGTGGCGTCAAACTCCCTAAAGAGGCACGAGGAGTACACGAGGAGTATCTGAAGGCTCTGAGTGCCAACATCTCAGCGAGAGCCGAACATGGTCGGGTGCTTGAGGACTTGGACCGGGCAACTGGGGCAAGAAGTACGCCTGCACCGGCGGCATCAGATCGCCTAGAGGAGCATTTAGCGAGGATCAAACTCCAGAAGAGGAAAGAGAAGCTTCAGGTCCTAGAGAAGTATTTGGATCTGCTCTGCCATAAGCCTGTGGCCTCGCCGAACTTCCTGGATCCCGAGGAGGTATTCATGGGCTCGCGTGCTCTGCCCTCCGTTCCGAAAGAAGTCGTCGACGGGCTTGCGCAACGGGAGACGACTGGAAAGACGGACTTGAAGGACCTTATTGATCGGTTGGAAAAGCAAGTCCTGCGGGCAAAACTACTATTGAAGGGAGAGGAGCAACTTCTAGAGGACATAAAGGCGCGATCGACGGTCACGCCCGGAAAGATCAGCGAGAGTGCCAAGCTGAGGGCTTTAAATACGACGAGGGATGAGCTGATTAACTGGATAGAGACCGAGTTGGCTAAGGCTTCCGGAGGGGAACCCAACGCTCTAGATGGAAATCCTGAAGGGAGCGGGTCCGTGGCTTACGACGGTGCTCATGTCGAGGGGCAACTGGCAAGCATCAAAGAGAAATACGCACAGTATCTGACTTCACGGAAATCTCTGCTCCAGCTTGTCGGACAGCAACCACAGCCGGAAATCCAGCCGCAGACTGAAACTCAGAATCTAAATTCGGCTGCCGCAGTGGCTCCAGGTCCACTCCCAGCTCCAGTTGATTACCTCCTCACGCCGTATCTCGAGAAACTCATTGCTGTTGCTCACGAGCAGAAAGCCCTCATCGGCCAGAAATCCCATCTCAACATTGCCATCGCGAAGCAGCTCAAGGACAACTGCCAGGCTCTCGACCACCTCGCGGAAGAGAGCCATCTCCTACCAAGCTACCCGATGCCCGGCGCATCGAAACGCAAGCTAGGTTTTGGGGATGCCTTGGTGGCCCCAGAGAGCCTCGACTCTTCGAGCAGAGTCAAGCCGTGGGTCTTCGCAGCCGATTCGGCCAAGATTGCAACCTTGGAGACCGTGGCGGAGAAGATCGAGGAAGGCCAACTTGCACTCGAGAGCACAATGAAGGCCCTAAATGAGATTGACCTCCTCCTGGGACGAGGGCCTGCAACCCGTACCAGTAGTCATGAAGCGGCTGGGACCAACGACGACGATATATGGCTAGCAGAAGGGGAACCGCCAGCCAAGCAGGGAAAATCGAGGAAGCATGCAGAGAAGCCAAGCCAGGCCAGCGAGGTCGACGATATATGGTCTATCCTGGATGGCAATCTGGGACTCCTGAGGTCTGAAAATGAGCTCTCTTAATTGTTGGCTATTCACTACAAGTCACCAGGAAAATGCAAGTCACGTATCGCCGACGCTTTGCCAGCCCATTTGTCCACTGCTCAGCATAGGATGGGTAATCATATCCTTCTAGACTTTCTTTCGCTCATATTACTCATTATATCTCGGCCATGATACCCGATATCCGCAGGGCCAGGTCGAGGATCGACAGATGCTCGTCAGCCCCATCAACTAGCCTCTTATCCACCTCGGAGAAGATCATGACAATCTTGTTCTTCTGAGCATCCGGGATCGCCTCGTCGTGGATGATAGCCTGGTAGATCTGCGTTACCACCTGCCCTGCACTCCAGCCGTCTGCGACCATCTCCTCGACCACCTTTGCGATGGCCTGATACGTCTCGCCACCGGCCCGTGGTTTTATGGCGGCCATCAGCTGGTCTATTGTGCCGTCGGGGATGACACCGGCAATATCCTCGATGATCTTGACAGTTATGGTTCTCTGGTCGACGTCCATCTTATCGTCGTCTCCCTCGGCACCCGGCGCACTCGCCCCCACGAGCCTCGCCGCACTCTGCAAGAATGTGATGGCTTTCCGCAGGTCACCCTCGCTGCACTTGATCAGCGCATCCACGGCCGCATCGTCGATGGGGACGCCTTCCTTCTCGGCTATCTCCTCTAGGCGTTTCTTCGCGTTTCCTTGGTCGAGGCTCTTGAAGCGGAACTTGCTGCACCGACTCGCCAGCGGATCGATGATTCTCGTGACATAGTTGCAGATCAGGCAGAATCTCGTGATCTTGGAGTACGTCTCCATCGTCCGGCGGAGGGCGCTCTGGGCGTCCTGCGTCATGCTGTCGGCCTCGTCGAGGATGATGATCTTGAACGGCGGGCAGGGGTACTTGGACTTGTAGGCGCCGCCGGGGGCGTTTGTCAACTGCATCCGCGCAAAGTCCTTCACCTTCTCCCGTACGATCGAGATGCCGCGCTCGTCGGAGGCGTTGAGTTCCAGCACGCGCGACTTCACTAGCTCGGGGCCGTAGAGTTCCTTGGCCAGCGCGAGAATAGTCGATGTCTTGCCAGTGCCAGGCGGGCCGTAAAACAGCATGTGCGGAAGCTGTAGGACCAAAAAGAGTCAGCGATTCGGTCTTGGGATGCCGCACGAGCTGCGAGGGTTGGAATCGCCTACATTTGAGGCCTGGAGGGTCCTCTGGAGGACATTGACAGTGTGGTCTTGGGCAGTGACATCGCTTAGGGTCTTCGGTCTGCTGTTTGAATTGCTAACGTCAGTGCAATTCCTGGCGATGACATCCTCGAGGGAAATATAATACTATTTCTCAACCCACGGTTGGGCCCGTGGGGTCTCGTTGGTCTGCTTGTCCGGTTTGCCTGACAGGCCACCGTTTGCTGCGGCTTGTTTCCGAGCCTTCAGGTCGAAGAAGCTCGCCATTGAGGCTTATATCTCCACGGCACTGTCTGTGTGCCAGAGATGGTGTTGGTAAGGATGTGAGGGTGACAGGCGAATGCAATCGTACAGTTGATAATTTCGGATCGCAAACAGCTAATCCTCAGTGCGAAATGTGACAAACCGTGAGCTACCAACCACTTAACGCGTCGCTCGGAGGTCGCGACTTGCTAGGGAGGGGCGGGGGTGGGACCGTTCCGCTAGGGCCACCCCACCTTCTTCACAAATCCTTATTATTAGGCTGACGGATGCCCGCCCTCCTACAGATTACCTACCTACATAACTCGTAATAAGTGAGTAGAAAGTAAAAATCGCCAAAGAATACGATGATTTGTCTGGTTCGTGGTTCGGGGTGCCAACGACGGCGCCTACTCCAACTCAAACGCACCTTTCCACCCTGGCTTCTTATTGAGGCTAGACACCCCGTGTCTGGCAACCAGCTTGAAACTGCAGCTTCACTCAAAGAGGTTGTGTGTGTTGTTGGCACCTAATGCACTACCTCTAGGCACCTAGTCCGCATCCAACACCCCCCTGTGAGAACCTGAGAGGTACCTGAGCCTCAGAGCGGCAAGTGACGGACTGACGACCCACTCCAGCCAACCCCTCCATGGCCCCACCTCTGACTGTGACCTGTCGTTCAGCTCACTGGCCGCCTAATCTATATCTACATACATTCCCCTCCCTGGGTTCTATCAACCCCAATATCCTCCCAGCGCTTTTGATCTCCCGTCCTGCAGTCTGGTTCCCCATCGTCGTATGCATTAGCAAGTACTTGGAGACTGCTTGGTGAGCTGCAACCATGGCCGACCAATCTGTCTTCCGTATCACAAAGGTGAGCGAGCGTTGTTGATCCTCAGTCGCCTCTGATGAAGAGGTTATGCGGCTGACAGACTGAACAGGAGTTGAGTGATCTACAGAAGAACTCGGATCTCTGTAAGTCATCACCTCTAAGTCCTCTGGCCGATGATGTCCCTACTCACTCTCTGCTCACTTCTCAGCACTCGCTGTCGCTTGCCGAGACATAGACGTCCGTAATGTCAAGGCCCTGATTATCGGCCCTCACGAGACCCCCTACGAATTCGGTTTCTTCGAGGTATGATGGGACTTTGGGCGTGCCTTACATTGCTGTAGCTGACATCTGGATAGTTTGCCTTCAAGTTTAACAAAGGTTTGTGCCGCCTCGACAGGCACCCTGGAACCCCGAGCTCGGTTTCTAACACCTTGATGCCCAGATTATCCCCGCAAATCCCCCAACGTTCTCGCTCTTACTACCAATGGCGGCCGTTGCCGATTCAACCCCAACATCTACTCCAATGGGCGAGTCTGCTTGTAAGTCGACCGCGCACAGCCCGCTCATTCCATCAACTGCTAACCCTCAATCCCAGGTCCATCCTAGGGTACAGTATAACCGACTCTCCTTACCAGGCCATTCGAGTTAATAAAGATATAGGACATGGCGCGGCGAGCGGGGAGAGGAGTGGTCTGCCGCCCAAGGGCTCGAGTCCATTCTCATCTCTATCCAGAGCCTGATGTCCGGCAACCCGTACGAGAACGAGCCCGGTTTCGAGGATGCGAACGAGCCTTCGGACAAAAAGCACCAGAAGGAATACGTTGAGAAGGTCTGATATCCGCGCCTCAACATTAAACTACAGAATCCTTTCTAACCTCGGGTCTTCAGATCCGTCACGAAACGCTTCGAATTTCCGTCATCCAGAGGTTAGAGGAGTACCTCGGTCTGGATGGTGATGGTACCATACCATCACAGTCGGCGAGCAAGGAGACGTACGACATTGATATGGACACCATGGACGACGATACGACAGCCCCGTTCGAGCCATTCAAGGACTTGTGCAAGCGTCGGTTTCTGTGGTACTATGATTCATACCTTGCTACGATCCAGAGAGGAAAAGACGAGGTCAAAGACGGTCAACCGTTTGCACGTATGCCGTTCGAAGGTTCAAGTAATACGATGGAGGGTAAATTCAACTATTCCGAACTCGAGCGACGGCTGCGCAACATCAAAAAGGCGTTGGAGGTTGAGGCCGAGATGTGGGCAGCTGAAGGCCACACCGCTAAAGGCAAGGAGTCGACAGTTGCCGTTAATCTACAGCGCCAGTTTGAGCAGGTTGTCGAGTCCTTCAAGAGGACGGATAAACCTCACAATGTCGAACTCGAGGATAAGAACCCCTTTGTCTGGATCCTGACCTACTTTGGCAAGCCCATGACGAACCTGGATGGCGGCTTGTTCCGCATCAAGATATCCTTCAGCCCTCGCTTTCCTGAAGAGCAGCCGCGCATCAATTTCGAAACACGCATCTTCCACCACCGCATCGCTGCCGACGGCACGCCCTGCTATTTCTCCCCTCTGAGCCGGCGCGAGGATGCCAAGTCGCACATTGAAGCCGTCATCGACGCTCTCGAGGAGGAGCAACCCCCTTACGACCCTCGAACGATAATCAACCCAGAGGCATTCAAGCTGTACTGGGGCAGCAGTGATGATCGGAAGGTGTATAACAGAAGGCTCCGCCGCTCAGTCCAGCAGTCCATGGAGTGAGATATCCAAAACTATGTGTGCTTCTTGGGCTGGATCGACGGGTTTCTAGGGACTGATCTCGGAAGTCTGTTTCCATCTTTGCCCTGTAGCTCTCGTTTTTCCTTGGAGGAACAAAAATGCGCTTGCAATTCATTTGGAGCCATTCGGCGTTCGGGATCGATCAAAGGGGCCCAGGGCATACCAAGCAGGATCCAGGGGTTCCCAAGGAGGTTACAGGGTGTTTGGTTTATTTTGGTTGCTTCCCTCGGATGACGGCAATTTCCCGCGATGCCGGACGACTTCCTTCTTCACTGGTTGCAGAATCCTTGCTTGTTCGTCTAGATCTTTAGAAAACCTGGTAGATCCATACCTTGGGTTGGGAATCTGCTCTACGCGGCGGGAGCCAACATTCTGATGTCGAACTGAACAACTCGTTCGATTGTATTTTCATGGATACTACCCATGGTAGTAGTAACACGAGCTATGTTAGTAAAATGAGCAATGCAGAATGAGCTATGAGTAGACCGCATTCTCCGCGCAGGATATGCCATCGACCTAGATAAAACGATACTGGAGCCCAACCCCGGAGGGCAATCCTCTGCCCCCATTGTAACCATATTATATGCCAAACGCCAAAACACCCAAAAATATCATGTCCATCATCGACTCGTGACCATACCTGTCGCCATCCCTAACTTTTCGGTTTTGCCGAAAATAATAACCCCAAGCACAAGGGGCTCCCTCTAATCATTGTGTTGTAGGTTCCTCCGACGCCAGCGACACGTCGTCATTTCCTCCCCCCTTTTGCCTTCTTCTCCAGCTTGTCCCGGCCAGGCGTATACGGCGCCGCGATGCCCACCAGCCCCCTCCGATCGCCTTCGGCATCTGTCGCCACCTGTTGTTGTTGCTGTTGCTGCCCGGCCTTGAACTCGTAGGCGCCTCCCGGCCCCAGCACGGCCGGCGACCCGCCCGTCGGCGCCCGCTGCTGCTCGGCGTGCAGCTTGTCCAGCGACTCGCCCACCACGGCGTACTGCGCCCAGTTGACCGGCGGGCAGCGCACCACGTTCTGCGGCCGCGGAAGAGTGCGCCACGCCTCCCTGCCTAAACTGGGGGGGTTGCCGCCCTGGCCCCTTGGCTGCTGCTGTTGCGCGCTGGCGCCGTCGTGCGGAGCCTCCGCCCCAGAGTCTTGGCCGCCTCCCTCCATGTCATCATCCTCGTCGCCATCGTCGTCGTCGTCGTCGTCGTCGTCATCATCCTCCTCCTCCTCCTCCTCCCCTGGCCCCCCCCAACCACCCCCAGCACCACCACCACCGCGGGAAGGCGCAGGGAAAAGCGGGTCCCCCGCGGACGCGACGCGGCCGGCGCACAGGTCGGCGACGAAGGCGGCCGGGTCGGCGAGGGCGGCGTCGCGGGCGCGCGACAGGGCGGCGACGTCGCGGGCGGCGCGGGCGCGCTGCAGCTGCAGGATGGAGATGGCGCTGCGCAGGGCCAGGGCGTCCGGGTTGTCGTCCAGGCGGAGGGCCGCCGCGCGCGGGGGGGGGATGCCCACGGCCTGGGCCTGGGACGGGTCCGGGTCCGGGGGCCCCGAGGGGGGGGCGGTCGTGTTTGTGGGGTGGTTGGATGGGGGTAGGGGTAGGGGTGGTGGTGGCCGGTTGGATGGGGATGATGCGGGGAGGCGGGCCGGGGGGATTGTCGGCGTGATGGGGCTGATGGGCGGGCGGATCGGTGATGAGGGCCGCGAGTTGGTGTTTCGGCGGTTGCGGTTCGTGTTTGCGCCCGGTCGCGCGGACGCCGGGTCCGTTGCGACGCTCAGTGCTGGCATGGTTTGTGGTTGTTTGCAAGGTTGAACTTCGGGTGGGGCCCGTGGCGGGCAGCCAAGTAACCTAAATCTGGTTGATTATTTGATAGTGGCACACTGCGCCGTATCCGTACACTAAAGATAAATCCGAGCTACTACTAACCTGAATAAAACGGGCTAATCCGGAAAGGAATTGTTCTTGAAAGGCTACACTAGATCTATCTGATCCTTGATTACTCCGTATTACGCGAGGCATTTGCCGCCCATCGCTGTTGGGGATCCCGTTGGAGATTCCCTGCGCCGGCTAGATCTGATGGATGCAGGCTTGTGTGAATGAGGATGAACCAATCAGCAGGCCTTAAATAAATCTAGCTTATATGCCAAACCATGCTTTCCCTCCCCTCGGAGCCGCGAAAGTTGATTCCTCCCTAAAGCTGCAATTGAACTACGTCTTCCCTATAGCATTGATCTCGGCATTCGATCGAGCGGCTGGAGGATATTTCCATGCCAAAGTTTGCACTTTCGCTTTCAGAGGTGCAGTACCGGCCATGGAAGGTGTGGCGGGGTGTTGGGCCCCCGTGTCGTACGTTCGTCCTTCGATGACGTATAGTGCATGACTCCCGCCATCAGCTGTCAGTCCTAGTGTTGGGTTGGGAATTGGTGACGATATCGGGGCTGGGCCTCCAGCTTGTAGGGGTCATTGAGTTTTACTTTCACTTCTATTGCGAGGCTCTGAGCCAAGTCTAAGAAACCGAACTCTGCGCTTCACATTTTCGGAGCACCTACCACGTAAAGCAACCATATCGACTGTTGCCCAAGATGAAGTGGTTCTGGGAATCTCAGCGAGATGGGGAAAGGGACAGGTACGGGAGCCGCAGTGGCTCTCCCGCCGAGCACGACTCCGATTCCCGGGAACGAGGGGACCGAGCCCCCGATGAACATACCCGCCTCCTGCCAAACCGTGTTGACAGCGGCATCCCCTATCTGAGCCCCGACGACCCTGCAGTGTCGCCGTACAACCTTTGGACCGTCCGCTTGGTCAGGCGCATCACGGTCCTCTTGGCCGTCATCACCTTCCTCTGCTGGATCGTACAATTGGCATCGGCATTCGTGACACTGCCCGGCTTCCATTCTCGCGGCGGCGGTTTCTTCGGCTTCGTCTACGTCAGCCTGGCCTTGGTGACACTTGTCATCTCGCTCATTTTCTTCTCGGTACCGTCCAAGTCGGCAAGGATCCTCAGCATCGTCATGGCGGTCCTGCTACTGGTACAGACCATCATCATCCTGGCAGTGGAAAAGACGAGACACGAAGAAGCCTGGGTGGGCGTCGCTTCGGTGGTATGGGTACTGCTTATATCCATCTGGGATCTGGTCGCAGGCAGTATAGTGCAACGGGGAAAGACTGAAGAGGAGGAGCGTCTGACTGGCCGGTCCGAGAGCCGGCGGACCTTGCTGGAGTGGACAGGGGTGACGCTCTCGACCGTCGCCCTGTTCGTTATGACGCTAGTCCTCGTCCTCATGTCCTGCAACCTGATCATCCGCGCCGTCGATGCCGGTCTAGCACCCCCCGGAGGATTGTACTGGGTGGACGACGACAAATATCAGATCCACGTGTACTGTCGTGGAAACGAGACAAATTCCGACGGAGAAAAGGTTCCCACCGTGCTCTTCGAAGCGGGAGAGGATCCCGTAGAATGGGGTCTCTGGCAGTTTGCGGACAATGCTCTCCAGAATGGCTCCATCAGCAGGTATTGCTTCGCGGACCGCTCAGGCGTTGCATGGGTAAGAAGGCACTCTCCCATTCCCACGCGGCGGCGTAACTAATTTTTACTAACGAACGGCCCCATGACAGAGCGATGCGGCTCCATCACCTCTATCGGCAAGCATGGCGAGCGATGCTCTGGGCGAGGCACTTGCGCGGGCAGGTGAAAAGGGACCATGGATTCTGGCTAGTGCTGGCATTGGATCGATCTACTCACGCATATTTTCATCCCGTCATGGTAGGGAAGTGGAGGCAATATTGATGATCGACCCACTGCACGAGGATCTCCTATACAGAGTTGGGAGGCCAGGGCGGGGGTTCCTGCTTTGGCTGCAGGGCGTCATCTCACCGCTCGGCCTTGAGCGCGTCTCGGGGTCTCTCTTCAAGGGCCGAAACAGGGTGGATCGGGTCTGGGGCAGGTCAGCATATCAGTCGGGAAAGACAATATTCGGCAAGCTCCAAGAGAGTCTGGTTGCGGATTCCCTGACCAAGCGGGAGGCAATCTCCAGCAGGGCCATCCAATATCAAGACACACCGGTGGTGGTTATCAGCTCAGGGGTCAAGCTTCGTCGAGACAGCGAGTGGGAGGAAAAGCAGAGGGATCTCACTCATCTCACGAGGAATTTGGAGGATTGGGACATTGTTGAGAAGGCCCCCCACCAGGTTTGGAGGACTCTTGAGGGTCGTGAACAGATTGAAAAGCGGCTGAAGAAGCTTGCCCATCGTGGGTGACGGATGACGGGTGAGGAGGGTGCTGAAGTGGTGAAGCCTTTCCATGGAAGAAGATGGAGCCAGTCGCTGTCCAGGGATCAAGTACGACGAGGCTCTGTGGAAGGCGCACTGTGGTATATTTGGGCTCAAGTGAGACGCCATGACATCTGAGGTCCAACAAGGTGGACTGACGGGAAGGGACAGAATGAAATGAAAACACATTTGAATTGCCTATTTATTTGGAATGGAAGTGGTTAGTGGTTACGGATTACCGTTAGTTTGAACAGTTGAATCCACAGTAACCAGAGAGCCAGAGAGCAGGAGATCCGAAGGAGAGGTTGAAATTGGGATGGTGTAACAACCGGGGACCCTAACAATAATAAGACACAGAATTCCTCAACAGCATAGGCTCGGCCCGTTCATCAGCCCAAATGTGGGAGCTGGTTGAAGCCCAAGAGCCTTTGTTTCATTGCTGTGGCTCGTACTTTTCCACCCCACCTCCAAGAGATAGCGTGATGCACGGACCTCCAGCTGGTTTTGCTAGAATTTAGGTAGCCTACGCAGCATGGACTGTGCCTCAGGCCTTTACGCTGGCTGTTGTAGGTACCCTGGCCTCCGTTATCCAATTTCCCCTGTGATATGGATACAAACCCCAGGGTTACCTGCACGCCCACTCTCCACTGGTGAGACATCCATTGATCTTGGTCCTTGACATTAGGTACCCTCGACGAATGGGCCATCCACCCACCATAGCCCGGGCACTCACCAACATCGCCCTTTATCCTCTTGTTTCCTGGTCGCTTTTGTCCTGGCAGTACATTCCCTCAACTCACGCTGGCGGCACTCCTTAAAACAATCCCATCCTACACTGGCTTGTCAAGCAGAGCTCCCCATTAAAGCCTGGAAATTACACACCTTCTCCGAGGCGGGGACTTGCCGATCACAACAGTTTCGATCTAGTTCAACTTGTCCGACTCGTCCAACTCGGCGCAACTTTTCCTCCTGAAGCTGCGAATCTCACCTCACTTCTCTGGTGGATTGTCCACAGGCTGCTGCTCCCTCTGGATGAGCGCTAACAGAAAGCATCGCCCTCTCAGCAGCAGCTTTGTCCTTCACTGCCACTCTCGCGCTTTGAACCTGGTCACCTCAGCCCAAAAATAAACCCGATGCTCTAATATTGGTCGACTTACTGCCTAGAAGCCACTCCAACTACGTAATTCCTTTCCCGAAGCAGACTGTGCCAATTGCGATACTTGGATTGCACACTTTGCGACACCCCGTCTCATCTCACTAGCAACTGTTCCAGCCGCGTTGATGTTGGAACCAAGACTCCCGACAAACTTCGTCTCTATACCCCGAGTCCGGCACCAATAATAGATCAACCTGCGACTCGACCGGCGGGGGGGGGGGCGGGGGGGGGGGGGGGGGGGGGGGGGGGGGGGGGGGGGGGGGGGGGGGGGGGGGGGGGGGGGGGGGGGGGGGGGGGGGGGGGGG